TCAGTCTGTGGGCATGTTTACAGACTGCTTTCTCCCTGTTCTGGACAAATACAATGCTAACATGGGGGCAGGGCCGTCTGCCAGACTGAGGCGGGAGCATCTAGCCAGCCTAGGTCTGAGAGAGTTCTATTTTCACACCAGTCAAAGGCAGGAGCTGGGTATGTGGGAGATCTGGTGGAGTGTGAGCCCTGACAAGGTGGCTGGGGTGCAGGGACCTGCACTGTCCATACTTCAGGTTCACACCCAGAAGGTTCTGACCCCTGGGCCAGGATGTAAACCCACAGACTCAGAAGCATGGCTGCCTGCTGTCACGACCAGAGAGAAAAACATGCTTTGAAGGATTGAGAAACCCAGCTCTTCCTCCTAGGTCAGTTTCCCCACCTGTGAATGTGGACGACAGCTAGCAGGGAGGTGGCCCCCAAGTGAGAAAAGGGGCAGTGACCAGGAGCCCAGTCCTGGTACTCCACAACCTTGGTCAGTCTCTCCACTGGCCAGCTCCCTAGTCCTGGTACTCCACAACCTTGGTCAGTCTCTCCACTGGCCAGCTCCCCAGTCCTGGTACTCCACAACCTTGGTCAGTCTCTCCACTGGCCAGCTCCCTAGTCCTGGTACTCCATAACCTTGGTCAGTCTCTCCACTGGCCAGCTCCCCAGTCCTGGTACTCCACAACCTTGGTCAGTCTCTCCTCTGGCCAGCTCCCCAGTCCTGGTACTCCACAACCTTGGTCAGTCTCTCCACTGGCCAGCTCCCCAGTCCTGGTACTCCACAACCTTGATCAGTCTCTCCACTGGCCAGCTCCCCAGTCCTGGTACTCCACAACCTTGGTCAGTCTCTCCACTGGCCAGCTCCCCAGTCCTGGTACTCCACAACCTTGGTCAGTCTCTCCACTGGCCAGCTCCCTAGTCCTGGTACTCCATAACCTTGGTCAGTCTCTCCACTGGCCAGCTCCCCAGTCCTGGTACTCCACAACCTTGGTCAGTCTCTCCACTGGCCAGCTCCCTAGTCCTGGTACTCCACAACCTTGGTCAGTCTCTCCACTGGCCAGCTCCCCAGTCCTGGTACTCCACAACCTTGGTCAGTCTCTCCACTGGCCAGCTCCCCAGTCCTGGTACTCCACAACCTTGGTCAGTCTCTCCACTGGCCAGCTCCCCAGTCCTGGTACTCCACAACCTTGGTCAGTCTCTCCACTGGCCAGCTCCCTAGTCCTGGTACTCCACAACCTTGGTCAGTCTCTCCACTGGCCAGCTCCCCAGTCCTGGTACTCCACAACCTTGGTCAGTCTCTCCACTGGCCAGCTCCCTAGTCCTGGTACTCCACAACCTTGGTCAGTCTCTCCACTGGCCAGCTCCCCAGTCCTGGTACTCCACAACCTTGGTCAGTCTCTCCACTGGCCAGCTCCCTAGCCACCAACTCTGTGGTCCCTGGTAACTCCACCAGGTCTAAAGATCCGACAGGGACAGGCACTGGTTCCTGGACCACAGTGGTCTCAGCACAGGACTGCATGGACTATAGGAGGGAGCAGGTAGCTTCTGCTCCCCGCCCCAATGCCCCACTCCAGAGTAGTGGGACAGGGAGCTGGACACCAGAGGGGAAGTCCCTGAAGTCAGGGACTTTATTCTAGAGGTCTGTCAAGTGGGGCCAGGCGGATGCAAGAGGTAAGGTTCAAGACATGGCGCGTGCGCATATACTTTCAAGTCACTGTGATGTCTGTGGAGGTTTCAGCAGAGCTGTGCAGTGAAAGCCTGAGTCTAACACCAAGCTAAACAGAGTCTGGATGATCAAGAGCACTGGCTTCTCCTCAGAAGACCAGGGTTTGGTTCCCAGCATTCAATGGTTACGCAACCATTTATAACCCCAGTTCCAGGAGATGACACCCTCTTCTAGCCTCCAAAGGAACCAGGCATGCATGTGGTACACATACTCCCACATATAAAATTAAATATTTAAAAAGCACAGTGTTTTAAGTGGAAACAATGATAGGCCAGTAGGGTAAAGGTGCTAAGCCTGACCACCTTTCAACTCACATGCTAGGAGAGAACCGACTCCCCATCCTCCACAAGGGTGTGGTGGCATATGCAGCCATACGTACCCACGCATACGTACCGACACCAATTATGGATATTTTTGCCTGCTCAAGTCTGTCTGCAGCGAGTGTGCAGTGCCTACTGCATCCAGAAGAGGGGATCAGATCCCCTGGAATTGGAGTTACAGATGGTGTGAGCTGCCATGTAGGTGCTAGGAACTGAACCCTGGTCTCTGCAAGAACAGCCAGTGCTCTTAGCCACTGAGCCATCTCTTCAACCCCATTAAATGTAATTTAAAAAAATATTTTCAAGTGACAACAAAATGGATGTGACACTGTTATCACACTTTCAGATCCAACTGGCTTACACAGAGCAACCCTGGAAGGGGCAGGTCTCTCTTCTGCTCACAGTGGCCACTATTCCTAAGAAACACTCACGAGCTGTTGGCTGTTTCATGTTGCTGGGGTTCCCATGTGCCTGTCATTTGACTGTGCAGATATGGAAGGAGGGGACCCCTCTGCTCTATTCTGATTGTATCTGGTTTGTGTTGAGTAGTCACAGCCAGTACACACAGCTTGCTATCTGGGCTTTCCAAGTTTCTGTTTATTGCTTAGATGCAGCCTCAAGCCTCCCTGGACCATGGAAGCTGAGTGAGGGGAGCAATCTCCTGTATGAACACATTTCTCCGTCACATGATTTCACCATCAAATGGCCCTATATTCCAAGTCACAGGGTGTGCTGGATGGTTATGTCAGCTTATCACAAGCTGGGGTCACCTGAGAGGAGGGAGCCACAATTAAATGCCTCCGTAAGTGGCTTGTGAGGACGATAAGGCATCGTCTTAATTAGTGATCAATGAGGGAGGGCCCAGCCCACTGTGGGAAGAGCCTTCCCAGGCCTGGTGGTCCTGTGTTCTGTAAAACAGCAGCTGAACAAACCATAAGGAACAAGCCAGTAAGCTGCACCCTCCGTGGCCTCTGCATCAGCTCCTGCCTCCAGGTTCCTGCCCTGTATGAGCTCCTCTCTCTTTTTTTTTTTTTTTTGAGACAAGGTTTCTCTGTGTTGTTTTGGAGGCTGTCGGTCCAGCCCAGCCTCAAACACACAGAGATCCGTCTGCCTCTGCCTCCCGAGTGCTGGGATTAAAGGTGTGCGCCACCACCGCCCGGCGAGCTCCTGTCTTGAACAGTGCTGTGGAAGGGTAAGCCAAGTAATCCCCTTTCTCTCCAGCTTGCTTTTTGGTGATGGTGTTTCATCGCAGCAGCAGAAACCCTTAGACAAGTTGGTATCAGAAGTGAGGTGTTGCTGTGACAGACCTGACTATGTTTTTGGGAGGACTGTGAAAAGATTTTGGAACTTTAAGCTAGAAGGGTCATTGAGTTGGGCATGGTGATGCAAACCTTTAACCCCAGTACTCAGGAGGCAGAGACGGCAGGTGGATCTCATCACTGAGTTCAAGGCCAACCTGGTCTACAGAGTGAGTTTCAGAAAACAAACAAACCCAAAGGCCACTGAGTGTTGATAGCTCTGTGGGCTGTTTTGCAGGAGCTTGTAAGAACACTGAGGGCAGCCAGGGTGGTGGTGGCACATTCTATTAACCCCAGCACTCTGGAGGCAGAGGCAGGTGGATCTCTGTGAGTTCAAGGCCAGCCTGGTTTAGAGTGAGCTTCAGGACAGCCAGGGCTTCACATCTGTGTCTCAAAACAAAAATGTAGGAAAAAAGAAGAGAGCAACCGTGTTGAGGTGACAGCTTCTGGGAGTGTTTTCTGACAGCATACTCGGGCGGCTGATGGACCCTTGCACTTGTAGCTGAACTTGGTAGTGTAAGAGGGACCCAGGTTGCTCTAGTTTTGAAGACATGACAGGGTCACTGGAAGAGCTGAGACCTGGCACTGTGACAGCCTGGGAGAGGTTACTGGTGAAGTGCAGTCCAGTAGCAGCAGACCCCAGCATTGTGGAGGTGCCAGCAGCTATGGAGTCAGCTGGAGTCTAAAGGCAAGTTGTATGCACTGCAGATGGTGGAGTAAAAGAAGAGGCCCAAGCCCTTTGAAGGAGCCCAGAAGATCACGAACGGATCCCAGACACAGGACAGCGTGTTAATGCAGCTGGGGTTCAGTTTTTCTTTGATTTGATTTTGACTGTATTCTGGTTCTTCCCTCTTGAATAAAATATTTATTTTACCATTGAGACTAATTTTTTTGATGATTCCCTTTTATTGTTTTGTTTATTGGTTTTTGGCTTGCATGTATGTCTGTCTTGAGGCTGTCGGATCCCCTGGAACTGGGAGTTGTGAGCTGCCATGTGGGTGCTGGGAAATGACCCAGGGTCCTCCAGAGAACCAGCCAGTGCTCTCAATCTCTGAGCCATCTCTCAGGCCCCTGGAGACTTTCAGATTTTAAGAGAGGCCTGTAAAGCACAGTGGGCCTGCGGAGCAGCCATTCCTGGCCTGGGGACTACATCAGCATGCATAAGAAACAGCCTATCCTCAACCTAGGGGCAGATGTTAGAAAGTTCAGGGGATGGGATCACTGAGCTGGAAGACACCTATTTTGGGGACTGCTAACACTGTCATCAGGCCTGGCTGCTTGCTATCTGGGATGGAGACACTCATTAAGTATCTAGGGACACTTGTTACTGGGTCTGGGTTGACAGACTGCTGTCAGGGCCTGGAGATGTGTGTTGTCAGGCCTCTGAATGTCTATAGTGAGGGCTGGACCCAGGGCCACCTGTCATCAGGGTTACAGAGGTCCATTAGTGTCAGGCCTAGGGATGGACTGTCTCCTTTCCTGCCCTCTTGAAAGGACTGACTTTTAGAGACAGTTTCATTTTGTGGCTGAGTATACCCTCCTGTCTCAGTTTCCCCATGCTGAGATTATACAAGAGCCACTATATCCAACTCATTTCCTGTTCCTCCAGTGTGTGCCCTCAGACACCCAATGCCTCCCCCAGGGCCTCAGTGACTGCAGTGCGGGCCGGATGGCGGGTCTGCTCCTCATTTATTCTCAGCACTTGACACGACAACACCATGACATCTCAGATCCTCACAAACACAACGTCCAGGTGTGACATCACCAGTGTTCTGCGTTTTACCAGGGACCAGAACCAACCTTCACCAAGTACTTCCAGGAACAGGAGCACGCCAGAGCCACAGCAGGCCAGGCCAGCATAGCATTTGGAATCCATGGCCCTTGTGGAAATGACCCTGGAACTAGAATGACAGGAGAAACACTGTGACAGGGACAAGGCCACATGAATGTGCATCAGATGTCCTCCACGGCCCTGCCCACAGAGCAGCTTGGCTGGAGAGCAAGGTGCCCTCAGGAGGGCAAGGACGGCAGTGTGTGTGAGGAAGGTCACACAGCTTGCATGCACCAGCGTGAGGTATATGCTCCCTCTCCCCACCAGCTGCCCTGTCCCCAGAAGAGCACCCAAGGTCATTCTCAGCTTGGGGAGTAGCTCCTGATGGGCTCAGCTCCAAGAGTGACAGGAGTCTTGGCACCAGGGCCATGTACCCAGATTTCCTTAAAGCATCTTGAAGACCCAAGGGACCAGAACAAAATGAGACGCCTGGAAAGAAGCTGGAGAGAGTGTGCTTCATTTGCGGAGTCCACCATAGACCAGGGTCCTGTTCCAACCCACAGCCAACATGGAAGTTGCTAGGCAAGTGAAAGAAAAGACCAGAGGATGAAGCTTGACCTGTCGTCTCAACCTGTAGACTGGCTTAAGGGTAAGACTGTGACCCAGCTGCAGTGCAGCATCCCCATAGCCACAAAGACAACAGCAGAGTCAGGTGGGCCTAGGGATGCACCAGCTATGAAGGCGGGCAGTGGGGTAGCAGAAGCTGAACATCACTACACAACATCCTCCAGCTATGCTCATGGCGGACTCCTGGCTACCACGTTCCTGGCCCTGGCATCAAGACTTTCCAGAAGTTTGTAGGCATTGCAAATGCCCACCTGTGGTGGGGAGGCTGGGACCCCAGCGAGAGTCTGTGACAGATCAGGGGCAGCAGGCACAGGCAATGCTGGGCACAAGGCAGGCTCTGAGACAGTCTGTCATCCTTGCAGAGGCCCCAAAAAGACCGTCTACGGGAACAGCGCAGCAGTGTTACGGCAGTACTCTGTGGGAGCCACACTGAGGTCAGAGGTACAAGGGTTGGGGTTTCCCTAAGGACACATTCCCCAGGGACACAGACAGGTATGTGCTGGGCATGTAAGCTCAGCTGTATTAAACTGGGGCTAAGATTTGGAGAAGTCTCCCAAGACAGGGTCCTGCTACACAGCCAGGCTAGACTTTAACTTGCCCTTAGTCCCCTGCCTCAGCCTGCAGAGCTCTCAGAAGTCTGTAGGAGCTGAGATGCCATTGCTCAAAAGCAAGAATCTACACCACTCCCTCCTCAGCAGAGCCTCTGTGTCCCCAGATAAGGTCTGGGGACAGAAGATGGAGCTCAGGAAAGCAGGGCTGTGAGGAGAACTTGCAGGGGAGCCTGGCCCTGGGCAGTAAGGCTGAGGAGCCGCCCTACGAAAGAGGAACAAGATGAAGCAGAGTAGAGGCGGGAAGGCAAGGGTGCCTGAGAGTGGCTGCTGCAAGGCCTCGTGCTGGAACCTGACCCGGGGATGTGGAGCTGGCTGAGTACACACCGAGGCTTAGGCTGCAGGCGTCCGGGGCAGGGTGACGGGAAGGGCAAGGCTGCTTCAAGGCTTATCTCTGTCGCCAGTGGCTCTGATCTAGTCAGGAAGAGAATGGCTGTTCAGAACTGAGCAAGGAGCATTGTGGGAGAGAAGGACAAGAACCAAGAATGAGGGCCATCGATAGGGCTCAGTGGATAAGGGTACTTGCCACCAAATATGAGGACCTGAGTTCAATCCCAGGGTCCCACATGGTTGGAGGAAAACTGACTACTCAAACAAGTTGTCCTCTGCCCTCCACATGGGCACCTCCACACCTCAACACATTACATTACACACACACACACACACACACACACACACACACACACACACACACACACACACACACACACACACACGGTAAATGTAAAAAACATAACCAAGAGTGGGAAGCAAGGCCTCCACAAGAACCAGCACTGGAGGCCCACAGGAAGGAATGTGCAGGCTGGGCAAGGCCACTCATCATCAAGCCTGTCCTGGCTGCCTGGCCCTGCAGGGACTGTCATCTATGAGAGAAACCCTGAGCAAGAGCAGCAGGGCCAAGGGGGGCCTGCTCCCGTGACAGTGCTCAAAGCCTGGCAGGAGGGGGAAGCCTGGGGCCAACGGCGGCCTCCTTTGGGGGGAAGCTTCCTCCTCTGCACGCCTGGACAGGAAGAGGGAGCACATGGCAGGAAAGTCCTCCCTTCGCTGGCTCAGGTGCTGGTCAGGGCCCCGGCACGCACCTATTTGCTGGCCCGCTTGTGTCTGTACATCTGCATCATGCGCTGGCGGAAGACGTCAAACGTGTCTTCTCTCTGCTCTGGCCCGTCAGCCCCCAGGCCCTCTCCTTCTGAGAGTGTCCCCCTGCAGAGCAGACACAACAGTCAAGAGCCAGGGAACACAAGGACACAGGACACAGACATCTGGAGAGGACACAGTCTCAGGGCTGGGGTACAGCTCAACGACAGAGTGCTTCCCATGTGGGAAGGCCCTGTGCTCTCTCCCTAGCACAGCAGAAACCAAGCTCGGAGAAGACAGACACAAGCCACAGTGAAGACAACACAAGGCTGCTAGCTCCTGGGAGCATGGCTTTTGTGGTTGAGACACAGTTCCCCTCTGTGGAAAAGTCCAGGCTGTCCTAGAACTCGCTTTGTACACTATGCTGGCTTCAAACTCACTGAGATCGGCCTGTCTCTGCCTCCCAAGTTCTGGGAGGCACCACTTGGCAAGACATAATCTTTTATGTAGCCCAATTTGGCCTAGAACTCACAATTCTCCTGTCTCAGCCTTCCAAGGTTGGGATCACAGATAAGCACCAGGCCTGACTGGGGCCTTCTGTGAGTCTGCAGCCTGACCACAACAAGATGCCTCACATAGAGATGTGTTGGCACAGCGGGACATGTCCTTTGGATACATGAACACAAGCTGAGGATCTGTGTCCCCACCCTGGCAGCTTCTAATATCACCTGTACTGTAACTACCTACAAATGCTGCTTAGATTCCAGGGCCATGAGCATCAGGACCAAGAAACTATCCAGAGGTCTACACAGGAAGGAGTTGGCCACATCTGTGCACCCAAATGAGTAGCTAATAAAATAATGACCCAGCTATACGCTGTGGTCTAGCCCCAACACAAGGTACCCAAGAGTCCCCCCAGCCATGCCATACACGCTGACAGGCTCGCGGATGCCCTTTCCGAGGGAGCCCAGGCCGTGGCCTTCCTTCCAGCCCATCTTCTGCAACATCTGGAAGCCTAGGTTCTTGTCTGTCAGCTTCTGCTGGGCAAACTCCAGGTCCTTGGGTTTCTGAGGAGAGAGAGGCAGGGGTGGGTGGACCAGGCTGTGCCAGTGTGCATTGGATCCCCAAGTGCTGCCCTAACCCCAGACGCCTGGGGTGGTGAGCCCCACTCACCTCCAGCCTCCCTGTGACATCCCTGGGGTGAGCCCCACTCACCTCCAGCCTCCCTGTGACATCCCTGGGGGTGCGACTTCTTGAGGCCAGGTCCCTTACCCCAGGGTCAGAATGGGGACCTGGCAGTTGGGTGGCATGCTGCTGCCATGTGCTGAGCCTATGATGGAAACCCCGTGTGGACAGTGGGGCCTAGGCCAAAGGATCAGCAGGAATGCTTGAGCAAGAGACCTGTAAGGGGACCAGTGGCCTCTCCTGTGAGTGGACCAATCACTGCTCTCCTGTGCACGGCAGTTTATATTGTAGGGGCTGAATGCAGTCCCCATCATCCTGAAGGCAGGGGCTCAGGTATGCCCATGCCTGGCTACTATCTTGGGGACAGGGCTTGCTGTGATGTCTGGGCCAGCCCGGGATTCCTGTGTGTAAGTAACCATCCTGCCTCAGCTTTCCTGAGCACCTGGGACACAGGTGTGTGCTCTACACCCAACTCTGCAAAGTGCCTGAAGCCTCGTCACAGCAGCAAGTGTACCACTCTGATCTTGCACCCACAGGGGCTAGGGGGTCACTATGCAGTCGCACACACCTTCTTTTTGGCTATGGGACGCCCCCGAGGCCTGTCGTAAGCGATTCGAACTGGTTCATGGACTGCAAGACAAAAGGGAGAGACTGTGCACACTGTACGTTTGCCCCACATCCTCAGAGACAGACAGAACGCTGCCTGGTGAGGACAGCTCACACCTGAAAGCTGCTGGCTCCTTTCCAATATTCTACATCTGCTGAGCTGGGCTGTGAGTGGCTATGATGGAGCCAGCAGCACTGTCTGTGCTAAGGGCACTACTCAGCCTAAGAGCGCTGGCCCGCACAGGAACCTGCTGCTTGGGCTGCTCCCTCTGGCCACAGGAACACTCCCTTGCTGCAGGCAAGCCACAGCAGTCCTGTCCCCTCCTAGTTCCACCAAGAGGACTCCAGAGGGATAGTTCTGGGAACCCTAACTATCAGTCACCAACTCAGAACTCAGCAGAGCACCAAGCACTCATGGAACATGTCACTGAAGACAGTGGCAGGGCTGTCCCACTGATGCCCAAGGCACCAACGTAAGACAGACCTGTGCCTCCCAGCGAGAAGCATGGCTCAGCTTCCCTGTGCCCCAAGATACCGGACACACGGGTCACTGTTGGGCCAACGGCCATCCACTACAGTGCTAAGGCCACATGCCCAAGGACTGGGAGGTGACAGTGTCACAGAGTCTGCAAGGCCCAATGGCTGCTGTCCTCCCACCTTCACTACAGGTATAGAAACCTCTGGGGAATCACAAGCTGGGTGTGCCTCAAAGTCAAGGGTGGGACGTGGTGGGATGAGCTTCTAGCATAGCCCAGTGGTGACAGAGCCCAGCAGAAGAGAAGACGCCCCTTGGAAGGAGGGCAGCTCCCCTTACTGGACATGTGAGTCTTGAGCTAACACTGGGAGTACAGTGGTCAACGGTGAAAAATACATTCAGGTCAAAGCATAGGCCCAGGGCCATCAGGGCTGGCCTGGCTGGGCAGGAGAACCTGGTTGTGGTGGCACACCTGTGGCCTCACCCTGCGGGAGCTGGGCAGGGTTCCTATAGAAGGCCAGCACAGGCACACAGGTGTGTACTGTCTCAGAGAAAACTACCACAGAACGGCACAAGACTCCAGCAGGGAACCCTGTGCACTGTGCCAGGCACGTGGGCCATCTGCACACACAAGGCCAGCAGGTACTGACAGGAGGCAGGGTGACTGGCTGTGGCTAGCACATCTGGAATGGCCACTGAGTGCCACCCCCGCCACCCTCAGGACTCTGGGGTACTCACCCTTTGACTCCTGGATGAGACACACCCTCTTGGGAGCAGGGATCATGCCAACTTTCAGCGACTTGCTGCTGACTCTCTTCCTGGGGAAGCAGCTGCCGGAGGAGGCCTGTGACAGGCCAGGGGTGCCGGCCTGGTCCTCCCTGGACCCCTCTCCAGGGATGCTGTCAGTGGGGGAACTGCCCTCGGAGCCTGGACATTTGGCAGCTCCTGCCTGTGGTCTGAGGGTACAGGTCTCCTCTCTGCCCTCCTCCTCCTCGTCCTCCTCGTCCTCCTCCTCGTCCTCCTCCTCAGGCAGCACCTCAGGGCCCTCCAGTGTAGCCTCCTGCTGGGGATGCCCCTCCTCTGGTTCACTGTCACCCTCCTTTCGGGCTGTGGGGCTCTGCACTGAGTCCCCTGCCTCACCAGAGGACTGGAAGGAGATGGATGGGCACAGTTCCAGCACCTTCTCTCGGTAGAACTTGAAAGCTGAGCTGCTCTGGTCATGCAGGAACCTGAGGGTGAAATGCACGGCTGAGCTGCAGGAACCTGAGGGTGAAATGCACGGCTGAGCTGCAGCACACGACCTCTGCATGGCCCTGCTATGGCTTCACAGCCCAGCTAGAGACACAACGTTCAGAACCAGGACTGGCTCAATCTAATAATCTTCCCTAGATGGGACAAGATGACCCTGAAGTTCATCAAGATAGGATGCTCATGCAACATGCATGAGCCCCGCTCCCATTACATCCCTAGCAACTTAAAAGGAGCCCACGAGGCAGCTCAGCAGTAAAAGCACTTGCTGCACATACCTTGCTGAGAGTTGATTTTGGTCCCCAGAGTCAAATCTGCTCAGACTATTTACACACACATGCACATACTTTAAAAAGATAAATCTTAAAAATCAAACAAAAACTAGGGTAGAAAGGCAATCAGGGAAGGACATCCCACAGTGTTGACCTCCAGCTTCCTTTGTGTCCATAGAGTCAAGTACACCAACATTCATGGACATATACATGTAATACTACACATGCACGTACACACACACATACACACAAGTCCTAGCAAGACAAAGGGATTGATAGTGACAGTGACAAACAGCTGCCTGGGGATGTGAGAGCTGGCAGGCAGCAGTGGGAAGCACACAGGTGATGGACAGCTTGTCTGGTACAAGGGAGCTAGGTGGCTGTGGGGAAGCAGGCAGGGAAAGAGCTGCAGAGTGCATGCACCACCACCCAATGGGGACTCAGATGGAGCAGGGGAAAGGAAGCCACTGGCAGCACACAGGCTGCTCTGCCCCCTAGCCTCCAGACACCTCTGGCCTTGTCTCTAACTGGGAGAAGGGAAGCCAGATTGATCACAAGTGGAGACCTCAGGAGCCAAGAGCTCAAATCAACCATCCCTTCTGCAAGGCTGTTTGTGCAGGTCTCTGATGCGGGGAAGGGGCAGGACCTCAGCGGTCAGTGAACAACACTGATAGAGGAGTATCAGGAGTGTACTGTACCCCGGCAGGAGGACAGATGCACGGGCGGGGAAAGGAGAGGCCTGGGAACACTCTGCAGTGCGGGCTGGGCAAAGCAGACAAGGAGAGGGCAGCTTCCTGCTGCTAAGAGCGTAGGTGGGAAACCCAGACTCCTCTAGGTGGTTTTTACTTTAGAGCAAAATGCATTAAAAATTCCAGCTGGCACGTGGTAGGCAGAGACAGGTGGACTGCTCTAAGTTCAAGGCCAGCCTGGTCTACAGAGTGAGTTCCAAGACAGCCAGGGCTGCACAATAAGACCCTGTCTCAAAAGCGAAACTTAAAACTCCTCCTCCCTACCACTCCCCCCAAATTCAAATATGGGGCCAGCAAGATGGTTCTGTGAGTAGAGGCCCTGCCGCCTCAGCCTCACACTCCGACTGTGATCTCCAGACCTACACGGGGGAAGGAGAGCTGCTGCCAGTCGTCCTCTGACCTTTACGCTTACGCTGTGGCATGACAAACTAAACAAACATGTGCAAATAAAATAAACAAACCCCACTGGGGTCTGGCTCAGCGGGCAGGAGTGTTTGCTGTGCAGGAGCCCAAGTGCCAGAGCAGCAAAGCTTTCTTTTCAAACCATGATCTTTACTCAATACAAAGAGGGCCACGCACAGTCCTCACACAAACCATCTGCCAGTGTAGGCCCAGGAGGCGCATGACAGCAGTCCTGACAGTGCGTGTGGGCAGACGCACCACACAGACACACACACTCGCACATACGCACACACACACAAGCTAGTAGTTCATACACTGTTGGGGACAGACACCAGGGTTATCGGTATACTGGGCAAGAAGTCTACCAACTGGCCCAAACTTGTATATTTCCAACTGTAGCACCAAGGACAGACCCAGGCCTCCTGCACTCAGCAAACAGTCAACTGCATTTTCAGTCAGACCATGATACAGCTCTCCAGCAAGTAGAAGGAAACCCAGGAGTGCCAGACTTGGTCCTGGGAACACCAGTACAGTGGAGATTGGGAGATCTCACATGGCCTCTGCAAGAGTCCAGGAGTACCTCCACCACAGGCTAGAGTTCCCTCAGCAGCTGGTTTCTGGATTTTTCTCAGACAGCTTGTGAGGCACATGCACAAATGCTGCTGTGTACCCAGTCTTTGTATGAGGGCTGAAGGAAAAGAGGGCGAGACCTTTCCAGATGGTCTAGGTGAGGCTGACCCAACAGACACCAGCTCTGGGCAGGCTCAGCTGAAGTGGCACCCATCTCGCCTGCTCAGTGTGTGGCTGTAGGGTGGAGCCCAGGGCACGTACCACAGGTCAGGGTCGTCGGTGCTGCTCTCTATGCTGAACTGCTCGATCTCGGGGCCCACCTGAGCCACCAGTCTGGCCAGCTTCTCAGCCGTCTCCATGGTCTTTGGATCTACTATGGAACAGAAAACAGCACTGTGGCCCTGTTCACTGACTCAAGCCACCTACCCTGCACTGTGTGACTCTGGAGCCCTCTCCTTGTTCCAATTGGTCAATAGGCATCCTATGGCAGAAGCCCCAGCAGCCCCATGGACACCTGGGCTGGCTGCCAGGGGAGCAGGCACAGGGCTGCCACCCTGCTGCTGCTCACTCTCTGAGCTCAGGGCACTGCTGCAGCCAGCCAGGAGCAGAGAAGCATGGCTTGGGCATTGTGCAGGCTGTGCACATCCCACTGCAAGCTAGGTAGGAAGGAGTACTGGCACAGGAAAGGTAAGCTGGTGGTGATCAGACACGTTACATCGTCAGCCTCAAACCTTGGCAGGGGCAGAGTGATACAGAAGGCATCCCAGGAAACACCATGTGGGGCTTGGGCTGCATGGGTGCTGCATCTGTAGATTTGACCAGGCTAGGTTGAAAATACTGACAATGGTTTTGGGTACAGCTGGGGAGTCAGAGTTTGCCTAGCAGGCCTAAGGCCTGCATTCACTGGCCAGTACTGCTGAACCCAGACCAATGAAGACACTTAGAAAGCAACTGCCTCTGTCCTTACTTCGTTCTCAACCCCCCCTTAAATAATATAGGGTAAATATTTCTGCAGACTTATTATTATTATTATTGACAAGGTCTCACTTAGGTAAGGCAGCCTGGGTCCTCCTCCTGCCTCTATCTTCCAAGTGCTGAGATGACAGGTGTACCCCAGGCAGCTTCAGGTAGGAGAGGCCAGGCACAGGGACAAGGACGTAGCAGATCAGTGGTTGTATGTTCCAGCCCAGTCCCAGCTACCTACTATGTGCCAGGGCAACCAGGACTAAAGAGTGAGACCCTATCTCAAACAAAATAAGCTCTTGCAGGCCATGGTGGTACACGCCTCTAATCTCAGCACTTGAAAGCGGAGGCAGACAGACCTCTGTGAGTTCGAAGCCAGTATGGTCTACACAGTGAGGTCCAGACCTATATGGAGAAATCCTGCCTCAACTCTATTACAAACACATTCAAAAAAACAAGCAAAGCTGTGCAGATTCCCTGAAAACTGTGTCCTTTTTCAGAAGAGTTTCACCTCAGTGGACTCTGGCACATGTGAAAGACCTTACCTCAACTGCTGTCAGTGGACACACTGTCCTAACTGGACAAGCAGGACATAAGCGAAGAGACGGTTAAACCTTGCCAAGACAGGGTAGGACAATCTTTTGCATTTTCCTGCTTCTGGTAATGGTCAGATACTCTAGGCCTTAGCCAAAGTTGGTTGCCCTGACACCACTGAGAGATCCTGAGTGACTGTCCAGGCAGCCAGCTGTTTCTGTCATTTCTCGACCCTTTAGGAATCGCCTGCTTACACTTCTTACTCACCCCAGTAATGTTATTTCCTTCTTAGGTCTTTGATGAGGTTGAAGACTAGATAGGCACAGCTAATGCCCTCTCTTATCTTAGCTAGAGCGTGTTAGGTACAAGATTCAGGCTTTCCATATCTCTGTAACATGTCATTTACCCTTGGCCTGGACATTTAGTGTGTGTTTCTTGCTTAATGTTGCTCTTGCTGGTTATAGGTCTAAATTTGTGTAAGTTTTTACCTTTCTTTCTCCTGAACTATACTTGATGTCTGCTACCACTATATATAGTTTTTACATCAGGTTCAAAACCCTCTTTTTTTTTTTTTTTTTGGTTTTTCGAGACAGGGTTTCTCTGTGGCTTTGGAGGCTGTCCTGGAACTAGCTCTTGTAGACCAGGCTGGCCTCGAACTCACAGAGATCCGCCTGCCTCTGCCTCCCAAGTGCTGGGATTAAAGGCGTACGCCACCAACGCCCGGCCAAAACCCTTTTATTTAGAGAAAAATGGAAAGTGTAGTGGTATGTTGTTTTGAGGTACCGGCCTTACTTAGCATGTAGCTTCAATGTGCAGATGTGATCCCTTAGAGGGAAGAGGGGGGCCTCATTCGGTCTCTCTGGGGTGATGGTCTCAGCATCCTGCACCTCCAGGGACAGAAGGTCATGGCTGTTTACCTTCACTGTGTTGAGTGCTACCCAGGTAAGTATCTGTTACTCTTTGTCCAGGCATTCGTGGATTTCCTAAACCCGCCTTCAACAGTGGTGTGATGTAGACCCAGCAAGGCTCAGGACCATGAAGGACAGTGTGATCATGTGCCCATCTTGTCCAACTTTTTTTGTCTATTCCAGCCTGCCACCTGGCTCCCCCACTCCCACCATCCCAAGGGATGCAGATGAGCATGAGGACAGGTGGGGTGGGGTGGGCACCTACCATCAGCAGAGGGGCAGGGAGAAGAGGCCTGCAGGGCTTCCAAGTCATCCCCTATTGGCCGAGACGGGCCCAAGGCTCCAGGGCTGGGGGGCTGAGGGCGGGGTTTGGCAGGCTCTGGTAGGCAGTCCTGGGCAGCATCACTTGAGTCCCGTGGTGGGGGCTTCACCTGCAAGGAGCCTACTGCCTGGCGGCCATGGTGCCTCTGCCGAGCGCCTGAGGACAGGGATGTGTGCTGGGCAGTGGCAGCTTTCTTGGGCTTCAAGCCTCGAGGACCCTGGGAGCGAAGCAGTCGCCTGCGCTGCCATGGGAGGAGTCTGCGCTTGAGGCTGCGCACAGCTTGTGCATACAGCATGGCACGCACAGCGCACTGTGCAGGCGTTGGCCTCCGTTCCACGATGGGCCAGCTGTGGGTCAGCCGCTGTGACTCTGCCAACTTCAGCTTGTAGTACTTATACTCCAGGCTGCTCTCATCAGACAGAAACCTGTCAAGTAGACACAAGGCAGGGCACTGGGTGAGCAGCACCGTGCTCAGAAGGTGTAGCTGCGCTACCAAGTGAGGCGCTTCCTACCCTCTGCTCTCCAGGTGCCTAAGAAAATCGGGAGCTTTGATCCAGCTGGGTACTGAGGCTTATTCTTTTTTTTTTCCCCCTTGGGGGAGAGGGGGAAGGTTTATTCTTAATTCTAACACTGTGGAGGCTGAAGTAGGAGGACCGTAGAGGATTTGAGGCCATTCTCTTTTTGTTTATAGGCCTGGCTGTCCTGGAAACTCACAATGCAGACAATGCTGGCCTCAAACTCACAGAGATCTACCATCCTCTGCCTCCAGAGTGCTGGGATTAAAGGCATGCAAGAAAGAATTGGCTGGATTTCTTGACTTTGGTCAGCTCAGAGCAGGTGCTGCAGGTTCACAGTACCCTGCAGCAAGCATCCTGGCAGACAGAGGGGTGCCCTTCACATGGCTAGGTGTCAAGGGCTTCATGAGCTCTCTCTGTGCCACTGAAGCAGGTGTGGCAAGACAGAGGGGAGTCTGAGACACTTCCAGATGCACTAGGGACAGCTGAACATACCAGGCTGAGGTGGTCACCTCACTGCCTCCCTCAGGTACAGGGGTGTCAAATCTCTGCTGGATGTGAAACAACAGAAGAAATGGGAGCCTGTATCCTCCAGTTTGACCCTGGCATTTGTAGTAAAATTCTAGTAGAATCATTGTGTATCTAGGGTAAACATTAGAATGAAAGAGTTATTTTCTACAAGTACTTACACCTGGAAGAAATCATTGTAGAAAATGGTGACCCTTTTCTGTGCTCTACAGAGCAGTTTTTCTGAAGGAGTTTAACAGCCTTTGCATGACTTTGGTCACAAGACTACCCTGGCACACCTGGAGCATCTTGCATTATTGGGTACTGCAAACAGTGTACAATAAGGACTAAAATTTCAGGGGTGATGTTTTCTTTCAGAAAACATATCAGGGCTTTGATATGAGGAACTGCCATAAAATAACCTTTGTGTAATAATCAGTAAGTATACTTCTGCACAGCTGTTCGAGATTCAGTTCATCGAAATTGTTCCTCCTGTTGCCACAGAGCCTGAATTACATTCTGGAATGACTCTTTTTCTTTGATTGTCCCACACAACAAAGAACACTTGACAGGCATTTACCAGCTCATAAAACAAAAACAAAACAGCAAAAACAAACAACTGTCACAGCTGGCCTTGCCTCCACTCCCAGGTTTGCTGCTTGGGAGTCACCTGAGCCTGGGTGTAACAGAAGGAGAGGGGCCCTGCTGCTTTTGCCCTTATTAATGCAGCCCACCAGTTATGGACACAGTCCCCTTGTCTGCAGTGTTTTGAGGAAGCTGGAAACTATGTGAATTTTCCAAGGCCGAGGGAACGGCTGGCAGTGCCTTACGAGTTAAAAGTGGCGAGAGCAGCAGGAAAGAGAAGCATGATGTAGACACCATGTGCGCTTCTCAGCTGCCACCCCTGCACTAGGGAGCTAAAGCAGGACAGCCAGGGTTCAAGGCCAGCACTGGCTATACTGTAAGTCTGAGCCAGCCTTGGCGAGAGTGGGAGTCCAAAAACAAAACAAAACCCAGCTTGGGGTAGATCATGTGCCCAGCATGTGAGGCCACCATGGGTCCTATCCCAGTGTTACACCACAGAAAGACGATTTGGGCACTGTCATAAGCACTGTGTGGGGCTTGAGCAAGAATAGCTCCAAGCTGGGCAGTGGTGGCGCACCCTTTAATCCCAGCACTCAGGAGGCAGAGGCAGGCGGATCTCTGAGAGTCCGAGGCCAGCCTGGTCTACAGAGTGAGTGCCAGGATAGGCTCCAAAGCTACACAGAGAAACCCTGTCTCAAAACCTCCCCCTCTCCCCCAAAAAAAGAATGGCTCCCAAAGGCTCATAAATTTGAATGCTTAGTCAGCAGGAAGTGACACTGCCTGAGAAGAATCAGGGGGTGTGGCCTTGTTGGAGGAAGTGTGTCACTAGGGGTGAGCTTTGAGATTTCAACATCCCAAGCCAGGTCCAGTGGCTGTCCCCTCCTGCTGCCTGCTGCCATAATGACAATGAACTAAACCCCTGAAACTGTAAACCAGCTCCAATGAAATGTTTCCTTTTATAAGAGGTGACATAGTCATGGTATATCTTCACAATAACACCAAGACAGAAGTTGGTACCAGGTCAAGGGAATGGCTGTGACAGCCTGACCATGCTGCTTGTTGGTGGAACAGGGACTTGGGACTTTGGATTAGAAAAGCAACTGAATGCTTTAAGTGAGACTTAATGAGCCATGCTAATAGAAGTGTAGAAGACAGTGGTGCTGACAACAATGTCGGTTATGATGGTCAGCCCAAGAGGTTTCAGAGAAGAATATTATCGGTAAGGGGCCTATATTTTGGTGAAGAATGTGGCTGCTTTCTGCCCGTGTCAAAAAATCTGCCCGAAGCTGGGCGGTGGTGGCGCACGCCTTTAATCCCAGCACTCGGGAGGCAGAGGCAGGCGGATCTCTGTGAGTTCGAGGCTGGGCTGGACCGATAGCCTCCAAAACAATACAGAGAAACCCTGTCTTGTAAAAACCAAAATCTGCCTGAGGCTAAAATCTGAAGACTGAATTAATGACATTGGCAGAGATTTCAAGACAGCCTATTATTGACTGTGTTGTGTGGTTATTAGTGGTCACTCTTATGCAGACTTGTAATGAAAACAAGCAATCCAAGGAAGGAAAAATGCAAATTGTACAGTTTGAGGAGAAAAGGAACACCAGGAAGTTTAATGGAGCTAAGTCTTGTGCTCAAGAAGATAAAAAGTTTAAAAGAAGTGGTGACCTCAGGATAAGACCCCACCTAGCTATGTTTCCAACTTGTGAAACAGAAACAGTTCAGGGTCAATTGTAATATTGCTCACCTTTAATACCAGCACTTGGGAGGCAGAGGAGAATCCTGAGTTTGAGGCCAGCTCAGTCTACAGATTGAGTTCCAGGACAGCGACATTTAGTCAGTTAAGGAAACCAACTTATGAAAAGAAAAATTTAAACAGCAGAGGATACCTCTGAAAACAGAAAGCTAAGACCTTGGCAGCAGGCTGGAGAGATGGCTCAGAGGTTAAGAGCACTGGTTGCTCTTCCAGAGGACCTGAGTTCAGTTCCCAGCAACCACACGGTGACTCACAACCATCTATAATGAGATATGGTGCCCTCTTCTGCTGTGCAGGGATACACGTAGGCAGAACACTGTATACGTAATAAATAAATAAATCTTAAAAAAAAAAAAACCTTGGCAGTTTCAGTTACATGGTACAAGAAAGGGGTTATGGAATCTCCTCCAAGGCTAGGGAAAGCCACTGAGGCCAGACGTGTCAGGGGTGTCCCTGCATGGAGACCTAGAGAGGTCACTGAGTGACCTGTACTCAACTAGGTTAGGGGCATTAACAGCAGTTTCTATCTTAGGTTCTGGCGCTTTCTCCTCTCTTCTGTTCTGTTTGTTGAGATGGGCACCTCTCCTTCACAGTGGTTCCCCTCAAATCTTAGCTTTCTCAATCAATGCCTATTATTGATCATCCATCTAACCCTGACCTCCACCACACACACCACCACCAACAGCTTCTATCTTACCTCTAGTGGTGACCATCAGCATGCTAGGCTATGCCCAGTGTCCACATGGCAGAAGCAGTCTTCTTAGGACCGTGTCCATCCAGTGAAGTCACGCCCAGGTCTCTACACCTGGGTGACTTCTTACCAAGTGGTCTGACTTCCCTCACCAATCTAAGGCCATTGGCTTCCTCCCTGCTTAGCACTGCCTGAAGCTGGAACACCTCACCCCTATGTGATCTCTGCTCCAGCTCATTTCAGCTGTGCACCCTGCAAGCACAATGCTTCTATGTGTAAACCGAGGTGGCCACAGGCCAGCTCATAGGCAGCCAGTGTGGAGTCAACAGTATGCTCCAAACACCACTGAGCACACAGATAACAGCCAGGCTGGGACAGGAGCAACAAACAACACCAGGGAGGGCTAGACAGAGGGTCAGGAGCACTTGTTGTTATAGCAGATCCAGGATAGACTGGCTCACAACCATCCACGACTCCAATTCTCAGGACTCCACTGTGGCTTTCTGACCTTTCTGACCTTCCCAGGCTGCAGTTCTGACCTCCCAGAGCTGTGACACTGCTTTCAATTACATATGCCCTGGAGCACCTGTCTCTTTGCACCCGAGAATAGTCCAGCAGGGAAGGTGAGTAATGATCAACAGCTCTTGCAAAAAGATAGAGGCTGGAGAGATAGCTCCCAAATGGCCGTTGGAAAAAAAAAAAACTGTCTCAAACTCCACTTCCCAGGTACCTGACACCCTCTCTGGCTTTTCAGACACTTCGTGAACATGGTATACAGATATACATGTAGGCAAAACACTCATACACATAACAATTATTTCTAAGATAAGAACATGCCATTAAAAAAAGAAAAAGACAAAATAAGCATGCCTACCAGTAAGCAGGGTCCTGCAGGAGTAGTGTTCTCTCTCTGGGAGACAGCCTGCCTTGGATGACACGCATGACAAGCTGGTCAATGGTGTCCACCACCCTGTGATCTGCCCGCTGGGGGACTGCTGCAATACACAGAATGATGTTGTGAAAACAATGGACCAAAAAGGCCTGGAGACCAGGACAGTGAACTGGAGGGTAGCATAACCCCACAGCCATCAGCAACTGGAAACATCCATCACAGAACACTGGTGTTGAAGAGGGAAACCTGGCTGGAAGAGAAAATGTCTGTCTGAAAGATGTCCCGCCTCAGCTGTGAGCAATGAGTCACTCAGCTGCACAGAGCAGGGTGTGGGCTCTGGAAAGAAGCTGGTAAGCATCACCCACTACCACTGCAAACACTGCTTTAGGCCTGAGTGCTAATCCAGAAACAGATGCATGTGAAACGCAGTTAGAGGCACAGGCGCAGTTAGAAGCTGGCACCACAGCTTCTCAGGAGGTCAAGCAAGAGGACTGTCTGACCCCAAGAGTTCCAAACAGCCTAGGCAACAAACAAACAAACAAAAACCCTGGGGTCAGAGAGATGGCTCAATGACTGTGTATGCATGAGGACTCAAGTTCAAATCCCCAACACACAATTAAAAAAGCTGGGTATGACAGCGAGTGCCTGTAAGCCCAGTGCTGTGGAAAGTGGTGATTGGAGGATGTTTGGAGCTTGCTGGCCACCAACCTAATTCCAGGTTCAGTGAAAGATGCTGTCTCAAGGTAGTAAGGCGGAGAGGATAGACAGGGTACCTGATTTCTTCCTCTGGCCTGCACATACCGCACACTCATGCATATATAAACACACACACAAAACACCAAACCCTGCAAAAAATGCATCAAAATACCCCGAACGTAAAATATAAAAGCATTATTGATGGGGCTGAAGAGATGGCTTAGTTGGAGAGCGCTTCCTGCACAGCCATGAGGGTTCCCGCACCCACAGATAAGCTGAGTGTGCTCTTGGGTGAATCTAGGCTAGGCAAGGTCCCCAGAGCCTCGGCCCCGGATGCTTTTTGCTACTACTCTGTCTCTGCATGTTTGCCACTGCCATTCTTATCTGGCATCTGGCATGTGTGAAGAGTATGGGAAGATGCCCACTGCCCTTAATGCAGTATGATCATCTCTTGGAAATATCCCCATCTACTGGGCATTTTTACCTGTAAATTATTATGAAGATTCCTCTTAAGCTATACTGTTTAACTGACACACTGATTTTATACAATCACAGTGTTAAAAGGATTTTGATGATTGGGGGTTTTAAATAAATATAGGACAACAGAGGCTGCAGAGGATAAAACATAAAGAAGCATCACACAGTTAGAACACATGAGTTTCTATTGAGGAGCCGTATAGACTACAGCTTAGGTTAATGATAAGAAAAACAACTGAATGATATTCCTCAGGCTCTCTGGAGGAAGCTTTAACCAAGGCTGCTGTAAGATGGATGGATCCGGAATATACGGTATGTAATTTCTGAGAAATTGTAATTTCTTCTAATCATCTGAACAGGCTAGAAATTTTTGTGTTTTTTTTTTCTTGTTATAATTTACCCAATAAAACGAAAATGCTCAAAAAAAAAAAAAAAAGAAAAGAAAGAAAGAAAAACAATTGAGGGCCTGGAGAGACGGTTAAGAGCTCTGGCTGCTCTTCCAGAGGACCCAGGTTCAGTTCCCAGCACCCACATGGCAGTTCACAATTGCCTATAACTCCAGTCCAGGGTATCTGATGCTCTCACACAGACATACATGCAGGTAAAACACCAATGCAAATGAAATAAAAATAAGTATTAAAAAGAAAAAAAGAGCTTTCGGGCAGTGATGACCTCCCTACGAGAACATGCCTCTCGCAAAGGATCTCCTTCATCCCTCTCCAGAAGAGGAAAAGAAACACAAGAAAAAGTGCCCGGTGCAGAGCCCAATTCCTAGTTATGGATATGAAGTGCCCTAAACCTAACCCTATAAAACTTCACGGTCTTCAGCCATGCACAAACCGTGGGCTTGTGTGCTGCTGCTCCACTGTCCTCTGTCAGCCCACAGGCGGAAAAGCAAGGCTGACAGAAGGACGCCCCTTCAGGAGGAAGCAGCACTGAGAAGCACCTGAGTCAAGACCAGTGGGAGCCACCACAATAAACACATTTTGGATTGAAAGAAAGAAAGAAAGAAAGACAGACAGACAGACAGACAGACAGACAGACAGACTGACTTTAAGTCCTAGTAGCTCAGCTAGTTTAAACTCTTTCAATCTTAACACTGGGAGATGTGTTCACAGGTTTCAGAGTGCATCAAAACTGAAACAAAGCCTTAGAATGACTTCAGGTTGGATTAACATGTTTGGGTAAAAGCTTTGAGATGAAAAACCCTAGAAAACAATCCAAAGTTCACAAGGACACACAGCTGAGGGACACCCTCTTCTGGCTTCTGATCTCATATACTCATATACATGGAGACACACAGATAAAAAATTAAATCTTTCTGGGTGGGGTTGTGCACATTACTGAACCCAGCACAGAGGCTCAGGCAGGTGGTTCTCTGTAATTTTGAGATTAGCCCGCTTACACAGAAAGTTTCAGGTCAGTTGGGGCCACATAAAAGGATTTAAAAACAAAAACAAAAACAAAAAACTGCCTTTAATCGGAGGGAGGCAGAGGCAAGTGCATGTCTGAGTTCCAGGCCAGCCTGGTTTACAAAGAGAATTCTAGGACAGCCAAGGCTACACAGAGAAACAAATAACAAAAACAACAGAACAAAAAAACCAACCTAAAATGAGAGCCAAGCAGGCACTGTACCCTCAGGTCAGTGTGTCTGCTCCTGCAAGGTCTAGATCCCACCTGGGGAGGGGAGTCCAAGGCCTTAGGCCCTTCCTCCTCTACCCACAGCCCCTGGTACTTGCTACCCTTATTTCCCCTCCAGCACTAGGGAATGGGGAGGGAAATGCATTCAATCTGCTTCTGGAAGAACCTCTTCTCAGAAGGAGTCATAGCAACTCATCTGTGTTGGGACATCTGCTGCCTGGTGCAATAAGGGCTCCAGGAAGGAGAGGGCAGGGAAATGACATCCACAGGCCTAGAGGTAATGTCACAGGAGAGGAAAGATGAGTACTATGTCCTCTGGTGCCTGGGAAGGCTGAGTGTGACAGCATGCATGCTGGGATCACAGGAGGAAGGGAGAGGGAGACCAAGCAGCTCCCCATCCCTACTCTGGCCAGTGCCAGAGCTGCTGCTGACTGTGAGCCAGGTGAAAGGCACCAGCACCTCCTGGAATGACTCCGCTGGTCCTTGACACCCCTCAGTTCTCTAACCATCCCCCACCCACTGGGCACGGGATTGACCAGGGTAAGTGTCCAGTTTTCTCAGCCTTTGGTGATACGTAATAACAAGATACTTCAGAACATGGCATCCTAACCTTGATCCTATGGTGAAAGGGATCATGTATTATTACAGTGAGAGCCAGCCAGTTTTCCATCTGATTCCCAAGTGGGTCCCTTCCCAAAGAACCTTAAGGCTGCAGAGCTGGGGCTCAGTGGGCACAGCACTCATCTAGCATGCACAAACCCCTAGGTTCCATCCCCAGGACCACAGAAAGCAGGAGAAGCAGTACACTCCAACCATCTCGGCACTCAAAAGCGGAGGCAGAAAGAGAAGCTCAAGGCCAGCCTGGGCTACATGAGACTGCTTCAAAATCAAGAGTTAAAAAGAATTGGGTCCTTGAGTTCTACTCTGAGAGTTTTTTGTTTTTTGTTTGTTTTTGAGACAGGGTTTCTCTGTGGCTTTGGAGGCTGGCCTGGAACTTGCTCTTGTAGATCAGGTTGATCTCAAACTCAACCTGCCTCTGCCTCCCGAGTGCTGGGATTAAAGGCGTACGCCGCCGCCGCCACCACCTGGCTACTCTGAGCGTTTTTTAAAAAAGTGTATAAAAACCTCAAAGAGAGGGGCTAAATCGATGGCTCAGCAGTTAAGAACACATGGCACCTTCTTCTGCCTTCTACAAGTTCCTGCACACATGTATACAGTGGACACGCTCAGGCACACATGCATAGTGGACATGCTCAGGCACACATGTGTACAGTGGACACATTCAGGCATACATGTGTACAGTGGACACGCTCAGGCACACATGTATACAGTGTACACGCTCAGACACATATATAGACAAATATTAAAATATGTATGTATATATAATTACACTTTTTACATCTCAAAGAGGGTCTAGGGCAACCTCTGCTACCTTACAACAGTGAGAACTTGTGTTTGATCTCAGGTCTGATATTAAGTGTCCTGAGCAGTGATGCATGCATGCACCAGAACCAGGAAGGTAGCCAGCCTATCTAAGCCTGCCAATGAGCTTCAGATTCAGTGAGAGAGAGGCCCTGTCTCAAAGGTGGTGGATAGTCTTTTTGAACAACAACACTTGAGAGATGCTGTCTTCTAGTTTCATACATACACACATGTATCGGCACACACATATTTTTTTTTTTTTGGTTTTTCGAGACAGGGTTTCTCTGTGGCTTTGGAGGCTGTCCTGGAACTCACTTGGTAGTCCAGGCTGGTCTCGAACTCACAGAGATCCGCCTGCCTCTGCCTCCCGAGTGCTGGGATTAAAGGCGTGCGCCACCAAAGCCCGGCTACACACATATTTTTAAAAACCTCAGGACAGGCCGGGCGTTGGTGGCACACGCCTTTAATCCCAGCACTCGGGAGGCAGAGGCAGGAGGATCTCTGTGAGTTCGAGGCCAGCCTGGTCTACAAGAGCTAGTTCCAGGACAGCCTCCAAAGCCACAGAGAAACCCTGTCTCGAAAAACCAAAAAAAAAAAAAAAAAAAAAAAAAAACCTCAGGACAGGAAGATGGTTCAGTGGGCCAGGCCTGGTGACTGAAGTTCTATCCCTGGGACCCATGTGGAAGAAGAAAAGAACTGATTCCCACAAGCTGTCCTCTGATGACCTCTTAACATGTGCCCTGGCCCTTGTGTATCCCCACCCCCCCCAATAAAATACTATAACACTGGACCAGTGGTGGCACATGCCTTTAATCCCAGCACTCGGGAGGCAGAGGCAGGCGGATCTCTGTGAGTTCGAGGCCAGGCTGGACTGACAGCCTCCAAAACAATACAGAGAAACCCTGTCTCGTAAAACCAAAAAAAAAAAAAAAAAGAAAAAAGAAAACCAACCAACAAAACAAAAATCCTGTAACATTGGTAGTGATGACATTGTCTAAGAAAAAAGAACTTTTTACCTTGGTTCGCAGTGCTTGCAGCCCAGGGCTGAGATGTGGCTCTCTGCTCTCGGGGCTCTGCAGGCACAGCCCTCCTGACCTGGAGGGGATAGCCGCTGGCCGTGAGCCAGGCCTTCAGGTGGTCTATGTATTCTCTTCCAAACAAAGTGGAGTCCTCAAAGTTTGGGAAGGAAGCAGGAGATGGAGCGATGTCCTGGAGGCCCACAGCCTCTAGGATCTTCTCCTGCCTGAAGGAGGAGGCCAAGGAGAAGGTCTGGCCTAAGAGTGCCAGGGACTTCCTACACAAGGAGTTAGTGGTCTCCAGGGCCACGGCCAGGTCCAGAGGGCTAGTGAGGGTCTTCATCTTGACACTCAGCTCATAGGCATTACAGGCCATGAGCAGGGGTGTGACACCCTTCAGCAGCCTGTCTTGGAGCCGCATGATGTACTTGTCAAAGGGCTTGATGATCTCAAAGAAACAGTTTTTGGTCTTCACAGCACCTTTGTCTAAAAGCATGTTTAAAAACTCATTATCAACTCGGGGTGTTTTCAGAGCAGAGTGCTTTAAAAACTTGATAGTAAAAAAGCAGAAATCTCTGTGCTCCGGTTTTAAGGAGCATTTGAAGGAGGCCAACATCTTGGCACAGGTCTCAGTTTCCAGTTCAAAAAGAGTCTGGAAAAGTTGGGAGAACTTGAGGTCATCCTTGACGGTGTGGAACCCAGCCCACTTGATGATCTCTATGCCAAACCTTGAAAACACATCTGCTTTGTCCATGGCATCCAAGCCCAGCTTCCTTCTGGGGAAGCCAAGGGTCCTCAGGTCCAGCCCCAAGGGTGTCTTCAGAGCAGCGAACTGGATCTCATCCAGCCCTGGGTTTGTCCCGAGGGTCACATCAGGACTTGGAGTGGCTTTTTGGATTTGGTTAGTGCCCTGAGTTTTGGAAGTAATACGACCAACAACAGGCATTTTCTTTGTGGTCATACTTTTCAGTGTGATAAGCTTCCCGACACCCTTTGCTGTGAGCAGGCCCTGAGTGTCCTTTCCTAGGAGAGTGCCTTCCTGGTCACCCATGTTTAGAGACCAGCCTCTGGCCAGGACTTGCGCACTGCCTCTAGACACAGAGTCCACATCCCCATGATGGTCCAGGTCATAATCTCGACTCTCCTTCTCCAATCGCCTAGAGGAGGCCAAGTCCCCCAACACTGAAGACCCAAAACCATACTCTTGTGACCAGGAGGATTCTTGAGAAACTGAGTGGCCCAAGTCTTGCTCCCAAGAGCCACGGAGCATAAGCTTCCAGTCCCGAGAAGGAAAATGTCCCAGTTTCCGGTGGCCAAAACTCTGGTCCCGGGAGTCAGTGTGGGTTGCTTCCAGATCCCGGCCACATTCTTTGCGAAGATAGCTGTCCTCACTGATGGACTGATTGCTGGATCTGAAGGAGGGTCCCGCAAACATGTCAGCTCTCAGGCCCTCTCTCCCCAAGTTTAGTGAGTACACTCCAGGTCCACTGTCAGAGTACCTGCTGTCACCACGAACATCCTCACAGACATCTGCTCTGGCTCTTGAGCCTGTCCTTAAGAGATCTGAAATAGGTGGCCACAGACAGACAGAAGACACTTTAGAGCGTGGGCTGCAAGGGAGTGGCCTGCACACTAGCCAACACAAGTTCTTTATACCCCAAGTGTGAGGAGTATATGAGACTAGATCCCCAGAACCCACAGTAAAACCAAGCAGGTGTGGTTACCCGTAATCCCCATGCTCACGAGGTGGAAACATGGTTCTCAGCAAAAGACCCAGTTTCAATAAAGGAAGTGGACAGTGAGTGCCTGGGGAAGGCGCGCGAGCGTGCGCGCGCACACACACACACACACACACACACACACACACACACACACACACACACGCACGCACACACACACGCACACACGCATGCACTAAAGAAAATGTGTGGTGTCATCTCCAGCTAGCTCTCTACTGACCAGTGTGCACAGACCCACTGAGAACTGCAGTCAGAGTAAAAGTACCTGGAAACAGCACCTGCACCCCCCGCTGACTTTTCAGCATTCTCCCTCTGTGGCCACAAGGAGCAGTGCTGCCACAGTGCTCACAGTGCCTAGCTGCATTGGGGGAATTCGAAATGCAAGGAAGAGGTGCACATCTCCATGCTGTGCAGACACCACCACACTGTCACATTCATGGTGGGAAGCATCTTTCGAGCTTGCACCATATAGGGCTGGGGACCCCATGTCCTATAGGCACTGAGGGGCAATGACACTCACCAAGTCAGGTCTGTAAGCACCAGGCTTGTGCTTGCCCTTGTGGCCATCACCCACAGGCACACACAGCGTCAGACAGAGGCTCTCAAAGTCACCACCACCTCCACGTCACCCCACCTGCCTTCAGAGAAGGGGCTTGCTTCCATGCAGTCGGCATCTTTTGCCACACCAAGCCCACTTCAGGGTTCCACTTCCATCCCAGAAGCTTTATAGAGGCGGCCACTCTCACTGCCTCCGGGAGGACATCATGTCCCACACTGCCACTGGAGGCAGCAGCCTTGGCCCATGCCACACCCATGACAGCTGAGCAGGTGACAACTTGGCATCTGACCCCAGTGTGTAGAAAGGTCATTAACCCTGCTCTGGGGATGAGCCAGAGGCAGAGCAGGTAGGAGCAGAAGGAGCCATGCTAAGGGAGGCCATGACCGTGAGAGGAGCACCAAGCAGGACAGGAGGGGTGCACAGGTACTGTTGCAGTTGCCCACAGAAGCCATCTATGGCAGTAGCAGGCCTCAGACAGCTTGAATTTTTACACAGAATCCACAATAAAGGCCAAAAAAAAAAAAAAATCTGACAAAATGGGACCCAGGTCTGGTAGCAAATACCTGAAGACCAGCACTCAGGAGACAAGGGAGGAGGACTGAGAGAGTTCAGGGCTAGCTGGGCTACACAGTGAGCTTGAGGCAGTCTGAGACTTCGGTGGAGAGGAGCTAAGGACAAACAATAACTGAATCACAGTCCAGGACCGAGGAAGCAGAGACAGGCGGATCTCTGTGAGTTTGAGGCCAGCCTGTCTACAGAGTGAGGTCCTGGACAGCCAGGGCTACACAGAGAGACCCTGTCTCAAACAAACAAACAAACAAACAAACAAACAACCCCTCCACCCCAAAGAAAGAAAGCTGAAGCCCTCTTCTGGCACTCAGAGCACCAGCTGCCCCTCAGGTGCACACACCACACACAGACACACAAGCAGGTAATCTGAAAATAAGTATTTTAAAAGCAAAACAAAATGGAAAGTGATTAAGGAAAACACCGGTGTCAACTTTTGGTCACCACACGAAGGCCTGTGCACCCCCCACACAAACACACACAAACATAAACACATGTATCCAACCCCCCACCAAAAAAACAAGAAAAGTGTACCAAGAAGCAGGAAAATGGAAGAAAACACAAAAATCCACGCTCCTGGGGAAATGCAAGTTTCCCTCTTTAGCAAGCACTTACTGAGCACCTACTATGCACACACTAGGCTCTGCCATTACTGAAGGGAAGGAGATGGATCAGTGGAAGAGCCCTTGTTTCTGGCCCTGGGTTTCAGCCTAAGTGAAAAACACTACACACATACCCACCCGCCACCACCTCACTGCCACACACACACACTCTCTCTCTCTCTGGGGGAAGGTGGGAGCTAAGAGAGCACCCCATGGGGAGGGACACTGGCAGCGCCTGTGTTAAGGGCTGCTGGGGAGGAAGGAGTGCTTGGCACACACATGAAGGTTCACCAGCAAGAAATAAACTGAAAAAGCCCTCAGGCCCTGACTGTGGTCTTGGTGCAGTCAAGGTAGCAGAGCTAAGAGGCAGGAACAGTGGCTGCATCATACATTTCCCATACCCTGGCTTACAGAAAGAAAAATGTTCAGTATAGAGCAGAAGCCTAAAGAAAGGAAGGATGAGAGACCACACAGCTTTGTTCCAGAACCATCCAGCTCACTCTAAGGTTACTGTTTCTCCGCCAATCAATTTTTCTTTCTCTCTGTTTCTTTTGAAGCAGGGTCTCACTTAGCCTGAGCTGGCCTCCAACTCACAGGAATCCTTCTGCCTCAGGCTCCTCAGTGTGTAGCACAACACAATGCTCCAATAGGTCTTCCTGAGGAAATTAAGAAGCGATGTATGGAGGCTGGGGAGATGGTTCAATGGGTAAGAGTGCTTGCTGTGCAAGCAAGAGGCCCCAAGTTCAAGATCTTTCATCAATAAAAAGCCAGGTGTGGCCGGGCGGTGGTGGCACACGCCTTTAATCCTAGCACTCGGGAGTCAGAGGCAGGCGGATCTCTGTGAGTTCGAGGCCAGCATGGTCTACAGAGTGAGTTCCAGGACAGCCTCCAAAACAATACAGAGAAACCCTGTCTCGAAAAACCAAAAAAAAAAAAAAAAAAAAAAAAAAAAAGCCAGGCGTGGCTGTACATGACTGCAACTCCAGCACTGACAGGCAGTTATAATATGAAGACAGTCTTAAAATCTACAAAGTTTACACTACAGAACTAATCAAGCTAAAAAAAAAAAAAAACCCTTTTTGTAACAATAACAACAAATCTTAAAACGTTTTCAGTAAGTTTATTACTTTGTGTTGGGTATATCTATAGCAATCCACAAGCAGTGGTTCAGACATGACTGCAAGAACTGATTTCAGTCCCAGCCAGTCTTTTTTTTTTTTGGTTTTACGAGACAGGGTTTCTCTGTTTTGGAGGCTGTCGGTCCAGCCTGGCCTCGAACTCACAGAGATCCGCCTGCCTCTGCCTCCCGAGTGCTGGGATTAAAGGCATGCGCCACCAACGCCCGGCAGTCCCAGCCAGTCTTAAAGGGCTGCTCTTCAGTGACTCAGTGAGTAAAGGCACTTGCCACAAGCCTGGCTGAAGCTGAGTTCAAGCCCTGGAGCCCACATAGTGGCAGGAGAGTCAATTTCTGCAAGCTGTCCTCTGACCTCTGTGTGCGACTGCATACATGCACACACACAGGAGCCTTCTGTAGAGGCTGAGTGTTTGCTTTAGCATGAGTAAGGACACCCTCAAATTCTTCTTTTGTGGGAGGGTGTCCGACTGACACTCTCTGAATACTGACAACAGCACTTTCTGCACACTGATTTAGCTGGCAAGTAGGCCACAAGAAAATGTGATCTGCTCCTGACAAATCCATCAGAGGGGCTCGGCTGGCGTCCTCCTGCGAATCTTACCTTGAGCTTTGAGCTGGAGAGCTTCACCGACAGCCTCAGAATCCCCATACCGTTTACATTTCTCCTGTAATACTGTGTCCAAAGAGTCCTGTACCATCCGCCTTGCTGCCATGTTTCCCTCTCCTACAGTGAGAGAAGCCACACTAATCAAGACAGATTGCCCCAGGGTAAAAACCACTACCAAAACCAAGGTAATGGAAATGGAAGAATAACCTAGAAAAAGGTATTTGACTTCAGTTTGGAGAAGGGCTTCCCAGAATTCGCTTCACAGAGAGAACACTCTGGACAAGTGAATGCTATTCTCACAAGCTAGCTAGCAATTGTACAGTCTGAGCTGGTCTCAGTGGAAGAGCTCTTTTGCTTCTTTCAACAACACACCAAAAAGCTGCATCCTTCCAGCACAGACCTGAGACATTACAGGGGCTGGGTGTGGTGCTGCAGGCAGTGATGCCAGCACTCAGGAAGCTGAGACAACGGGATTTCCAGTTCCGGCTCAACCAAGACTACAGGATGAGAACCCAGAGATGGCTCAGTAGTTAAGTGTTTGCTGCTCTTGAAAAGAACCTGGGGGGCTGAAGAGATGGCTCGAAGGTTAAGCTGACTGCTCTTCTAGAGGTCCTGAGTTCAATTCCCAGCAACCACAGGGTGGCTCACAACCATCTATCATGAGATCTGGTGCCCTCTTCTGGTATGTAGGCACACATGCAGACAGAACACTGTATATGTAATAAAATTAAAAAAAAAAAAAAAAAAGAACCTGAAAGCCAGGTGTTAGTGGTGCACACCTTTAATCCCAGTACTCGGGAGGCAGGGCAGGTGGATCTCTGTGAGTTCGAGGCCTGCCTGGTCTACAGATCGAGTTCCAGGACAGCCTCCAAAACAATACAGAGAAACCCTGTCTCAAAAAACAAAACAAAACAAAAACAACAACAAAAGATCCCGACTTCAGTTCCCAGCACCTACATCGGGCAGCTAACAACGACATACAACTCCAGTTCCAGGGGATCCGACCACCTCTTTTGGCTTCCAATGGTACCTGCACCTACCCACCTGTCCCTACCCAGCCCTATAAATAAAATCCTTAAAGGGGTGTGGCTCCAATGACCTGAGTGCAATCTGGCACCTGACAAATTGTCTCCCAATTTCTACCCATGTGCTCTGGCAAACATGTACCCAGAAATACGCAAAATTAAGACAAAAGCGGGGTACGAGGACACATGTGCCTTAGTCTCAGTGCTGAGGAAGAGGATCCCTGGAGTCGGAGGCCAGCCAAACTAGCCAATCCATAACCAGACATCAATTTCTGCCACTCTCCAAGATAGGGCCTGGTGGTATGCACATATAGCCACTGCTATTTAGGGGGCTGAGCAGCACTTAAAGCCTGTTCCAGGCCAGCCTACACTATACAGCAAAACCCATGTTTGTGTGTGCATGGTTTTGGTTTTTCTGCTACTACATGAGAGTAGTCCGTGCCGGCACAGCACTGAACTGTGATCCTCCTGCCTCTGCCTCAAAGTGCTAGGATTCCTGGTGTGCACTGCTATGGAGACCCTGTCCTTTTGCTTTTACTTATTTATTTTTTACTGTTTTTTTGGTGGCCTCAAACTTAGCATGTAGACTAGGCTGGCATCGAAAATGCAGCGCTCCCCTTGTCTCTGCCTCCCGAGCACTGGAAGCACAGGTGTGAACCGTCACACTCAGTTTGCCTGTTTTAGAAACGGAAGAAAGAAAAGGACATTGGGAGAAAAAGCAGACTTGAAGCGAAGCAACAAAGGTCAGGCACCTTGGTCTTGAACCTGGCCAACTGGGCACTCACTGGGCACGAGGGCACACTCTGCAGGGAAAAAGGCAGGCGGCATGTCTATCGGCGACAGCCTGCCTCCTGACACGTCCCACCTTGAGAGACAGACCTGCCTTCTGTCATTTCTATAACCATCACCCAGTTTCCCACGCCTCAGGAAGCCGAGAGGGCGGCCCTTCTCTCGGTCGCTGAAGAAGGGCAGGGTGTCCGGGTCGGGCGGCCCTGAGCTCTAGCCAGGGTCCTAACCTGCCTGCACCTCCGCTCTCGGGGCTGCAGGGCCCCCAGCGCAGCGGGCCTGACGCGCAGCCCGCCCGGCCGGCCGTGAGCTCGAGCGGAATGAGCGGACGCGAGCCCGGGCCGAGGAACGCGCTCGCCCCGGGCCACCCGCGGTCCTCCCCGCCCCGGGGCCCGCCCTCCCTGGTCGCCGGGGCCCAGGCCTCACCCCGAGCGGTGCCGCCCCCGCCGCCGCCTCAGGCTCCTTACCCGCCACCTCGCGAGGCGGGGAGATGCAAATGAGCCAACGGTTTCCGCAGCGCTGAGCTGCGCAGGCGCAGGCCGCCGCCTCGCCTTGGTGCGCAAGCGCCGGCTGCCACCGCCTAGACCCTCATACGCAGGCGTCGCCGGCAGCCATCTTGGCTCTCTCGCGCAGGCGCGCTGCTCGCTTCTCGGGGCGTGTTCGGCCGAGGTGGAAACTCTGTCTTTTGAGGGGAAGCGACAACTGGAAGAAGCGCGGAAAAGACCGCGAGGGCTCCAGAGACACGCGGGCTCTGTGGCTCCCTTGGCTTTACCTGTGCTCGCGGCCTCGCCTGTTGCCCCGGCACGGAGCTGCTCGGCTGAGGGAGGGACGCCGAGGCCAAGCGGCGTCTCTGCGCCTGCGCGCAGACGGTGACCGGAAGGAGCCAAAGGCGGGGCCTCGGGCGGCGACTGCGAACCCCGCCCTTTCCCCCGCGTGGACCGGCGGGCGCGGGCTGGTGTGTCTGCGCGGCCCCCTGGAGAGTCGTGCCGCCTCGGGGTGCGGTCTCGCCGGCGCGCGGTTGCCTCTAGGCAGTGGGGCGAGGACGCCCGTGCGGGACGGTGAGCCTGGCCCTGGGTTCTGGGGACGCCCGTCCTGCTGTGCATGGAGAGGGAACGGAGCAGGCGTGGTTGCTGCGTCTGTCATGTTCCCTCTCGGGAGGCAGAGGCGGAAGGATTGCTGTGGGTTCGAGACCGTAGCCAGCCCGTGTTTCAGAATAAAAACCACCGAACAAAACAGCAAGAATAGGCGTTGTGAGCCCGAGAATCGGAGGCAGGAAGATTGTTGCGCGTTCCATACCAGTTTGGGCTACCTAGCCAAACCCTGGCTCAAAAACAAGTAACCAGGGGTTTGTTGGAAGAGTCTGGAGGGTCAGGTCTACAAGAGGTCCTAGCTTTCAGAAAATAAAAACGGAGGAAATAATTGAATGGGAGAGCAGGGCTGCTTGAACGAGGCTGTTTTTAATTAGATTTTTTTTTTGATACGGGGTCTGGAACTCACAGCAGCCCACCACTGTGTCTCTAGTGTGTCTGGGTTTGTTTTTTGTTGTTGCTTTTCAAGACAGGGTTTCTCTGTAGCTCTGTCTGTCCTGGAACTTGCTTTGTAGACCAGGCTGGTCTTGAACTCAAAAAGTAGCCTGCTTCTGGTTTACTCGTGCTTTTTTTGGTTTTTCGAGACAGGGTTTCTCTGTGGCTTTGGAGGCTGTCCTGGAACTCACTTGGTAGTCCAGGCTGGTCTAGAACTCACAGAGATCCGCCTGCCTCTGCCTCCCGAGTGCTGGGATTAAAGGCGTGTGCCACCAACGCCCGGCTTACTCGTGCTTTTTAATTGTAATAATAGTAACAGTAATTAGTTACTAATTAGTAACAATTTTTAAAATTGCTTTTAATATTATAATTTCCCAGGAAAGCTAGAAGAGGGTGTCAGATGCCTGTTCTGGAGTTGCAGGTGTCTGAACTGCCAGATGTGTGTGCTGGAAGCTGAGCCCTAGCCCTCATGATGCCTTCTCAGCCCTCATGATGGAGCAGCATGCCTTCTCAGCCCTGAGGCTTCTCCAGCACAGTTTCCACACTCTTTCTTCTAGACAGAGTCTCACTGTGTTACCCAAACTGGCCTGGAGCTTGTGATGCCCCTGCCTCAGCCTCCTCTGCTTGGTCGCAGCTTGTACCATGAGGCCCAGCTAAGCACACATACCAGAGTGAGTGTGTGGAACTTAGATCTTATTTTCAGATTTTTATTTACTGTGTGTCATACACCTCGTGACCCACACGTAGAGCTCAGAGCACTTGTGGAATCAGCTCTCTCTTTTCACTGTGGGGTGTGGGATGGGCTGTTGTTTGATACAGCCTGAACCTTTGCAGTGCTGAGATGGCAGGGGAAGGGGCAGGTATCAGTCGTTACCAAGAACTACATCCAGAGAGCTTGATAACATAAGTTATGGAAAGAGCGGCATTCGGGCCAGTGAGGTGGCTATCCGGTTAAAGCGCTTAACTGCCAAACCTAATGACCCGAGTTCAATTCCCAGGACCCTCATGTTGGAGAGAACTGACAATTACAAGTTGTTCTCTGGCCCCTGTGTGTGCACACAGCAAATGTAAGTCAACACTTACACATGGATAAAGTGCAGTTTTAAAATGTAAGTGGACGAGTATTAGAGAAAAGTCAGGCTTGGTGGGGGACATGTTACCATGCATGAGACCCTGGTCACTCTCCCTGCCCTGCCAATGGCATTGTCGTCTGTAGTACTTTGTTTATGCACTGGTATATGAGAGAATGCCTTTCCCCCATCCCCATCTTGGGTGGATTGTTTATTGACACCAGGTTTTGTGTAACCTAGGTTAGCCGGGAACTTCCTGTATAGCCCAGGCTGTTTCTTGAACTCCAGATCCTCCTGCCTCAGCAACTTATTCATGTAAAGCCTCCTTAATGTAAGCTACTGTACTATGCTGTCTTTGTATAGTTACATAGAAAACTGTATCTAACTATGAGATAAGGTGAGATTCGGGGCCGGTGCGATGGCTCAGTCTGATGACCTGAGTTCAATCCCCAAAGCCCACTTGGTGGAGGGAGAGAACTGACAGCTGAATGCTGTTCTGCATTCCCCACACCTGTGCCAGGGGTTGTGCGTGCACATCCTCCCCACACACATAATAAGGAAATATGTCAGAAGAGAGAAACATAATAGTTGTCTTCTGGGGGTGTTTAATTTAGCTGAAAGCCAAGCTTGTTTTAAGGTAGGGTCTCACTGTAAAGCCCTGGCAGGCCTGCACCTCTGTATGTGGACAGAGCCGTCTCGCCAGCAGCCCTCTTTTTCCGTCTGGCTTTTGAGATAGGGTCTCGCTGTGTAGCCAGCTTGGCCTCCCACTGGCAGGGAGGGACCCTTGAGTGTCTGCATCCCTAGTGCAGTGCTGCCATCACAAGTGTGCTCAAGTGGCATTGTCACCACTGGGGTAGCAGACCCTCAGTTGCCTGCTGTCTCCTGACCAAATACTGGTTTCCATTCAGCATGCAGAGATGGCTTCCAAGCGCATCACGCAGGAAACCTTTGATGCTGCAGTGAAGGAGAATATTGAGGAGTTTGAGATGGGTGCTGAGGAGGCTGTTCGAGAGGCTGTGGAGCAGTTTGAATCACAAGGTAGGCGGGGGCTCAGTACTGGCTCTTAGAGGCCATCGCCCTCAGTCTGACATAACTGACCCCATCCCTGCCTGTCTCCATGTCCTGGAGTCAGTGTGAGGCGCGGGAGAGAGAGGGTGGCAGTCGTGCTGCTGGTAGGGTTGGGAGACCGTGTGCCACATGGCAAGGAGCGGTGTGGCCAAGTGTGCTCCAGGCCAGTGCTAAGCAGGAGTACACTTACCGTCTCGGTCTAGCACTCTATTGGACCCGGAAAGTCAGCTGGACGGTAAGAGAGGTAGGTCTGCCTCTAGGGCACAGAAATGGGGTGCCCTAGTGGGCAATCAGGTAAGCATTGGGAGCATGACTGGAGCGGTAACTCACCGCTAAAATACTGGCTCAGTTTGCCTTGAGTTTGTCCCCAGAACCCACATTAAAAGCCAGCCATGCTGGCGTGTGTTTGTTTTTGTTTCTTGGGGGGTAGGTTTTTTTGTTTGTTTGGGTTTTTGTTGGTTTGGTTTGGGGTTGGGGGGCAAGTGTTTAAGACAGGGTTTCTCTGTGTATCCCTGACTGTTCTTGAACTCTCTCTGTAGACCAGGCTGGCCTCGAACTCACAGAGATCCGCCTGCCTCTGCCTCCCAAATGCTGGGATTTAGTCATGCACACCACACCCACACCCCCACCATGGGGTATGTTTGTGATCCCAGCACTGAGAGGTGGAGACAGGTAGATTGCTAGGCCTTGCTAGCCAGCAAGTTAGCCTGATTAGTGAGCTCCAAGTTCCAATGAGACCCTGTCTCCAAAAGGATTACAGCTCCTAAGACATGATACCTGACTTTGAGTATACACACACATGAACACTCTCACATGACCATACACACACATCAACACCCCACATGAACATACACGCACATCAACACCTGCGTGTACCAGCAAATGCACACACACAAGCATCCTTGTGTATACTGTGTCTAACAAAACACACATGGTGATACATGCCTGTGATCCCAGCTCTGCTTCTTTAGTATTGTTTTGCTTTGTTTTTTAAGACGAGTTCATATAGTCTAGGCTAGCTTCGTTCTGTAGCTGAGGCTAGCTTGAACATGATCCTCCCACCTCCACTTCTCAATGTTGGGATAACAATGCAGCTGACCTTACTCCTTGGGAAGCTGAGACAGGAAGATTACTTTCAATTTGAGGTTAGCCTGGGCTACATAACAAGACACTACCTCAAAAAAACTTAACCCCTAGTTGATGTATGTGGTGACACATTCTCTTAATTCCAGCATTTGGGAGATATAAGAATGGAGACCTCTAGCCAGGCGTTGGTGGCGCATGCCTTTAATCCCATCACTCGGGAGGCAGAGGCAGGTGGATCTCTGTGAGTTCGAGGCCAGCCTGGTCTACAGAGTGAGTTCCAGGACAGCCTCCAAAGCCACAGAGAAACCCTGTCTTGAAAAACCAAAAAAAAAAAGGAGACCTGCCAGGCGATGGTGGTGCACACCTTTACTCTGTGAGTTCGAGGCCAGCCTGGTCTACAGAGTTCTAGGACACCCAAAGCTACACAGAGAAACCCAATCTCAAAAAAAAGAATGTAGACCTCTATGAGTTTGAGGCTAGCCTAGTCTACATAGTGGTTCAAATCCAGCCTGGTCTGCATAGTGAGACTATGAAAAACAAGCAAATAATAAACCTTCTAAACAGCACACACGCAAGAAGTGGTTACCACAGCAGGGATACCTTTGGGGTTTCAGAAGGCGGAGATGTAGATAGGACCAGTAGGGGTTCAAGTTCAAAGGGAGAGGCTCTGTGGGTTCCCCTCCTCATCTGTCTGCCAAGCAGAGTCTGCCATCTCACTACCCAGAGATAGCATGTGTGGCACGGCCTGACTTAGCAGTGGTGGCACACTCATGCTGTGTGTGCAGCCTGTGGCTGGCCTGGGCACCTGGAGGGACCGTTGGGAAAAGCCCTGGAAGCGGGCCTTTGTCAGGGACCTCCTAACCTGAGGGATTTGAGGGACAGGTGTCACTTGTCTCCAGCAGCCCCATCTTCCCCTCTGCAGGGGTTGATCTGAGTAACATCGTGAAGACAGCACCCAAAGTGTCCTTGGATAGCCTCCAGGAGCCCACACATGATGTCCTGCAGGTAGGAGCAGCTATCTTCTCATCACTGGAACAAACCGTCTGAAGGGTCTCTTCCCCATGTCCCATGTGGCCAAAATCAGGATCTGAGTATCAGTGGTCTGCACATCTTGTGAGCAGTAGAGGTCTACAGTCATGTGTCCCAAGTCCAGTGTGAGAGCAAGCGAGCACCAGCCTCTGGGGACAGCTGAGCTACTTGGAGGACATGTTGGAGACACGCAGACATGCGGGCTCTCACTTCCCAAATTCTGGGGGTCAAGCGCACACAATGTAGCAAGGGTCTCTGGGCAGCTTTATGTGGGCTCTGGAGATCTGAAGTCATGCCCTTGTGCATACACGGCGAGTGTCATTTCCTTCCCCCACCCCAGTCCTTGAGTTTTACTTAGAAAAAACAACAACTGGTCCAGGTGTGGCAGTACACACCGTAATGCCCCTGCTGGGGAGGCATAGTCAATCCAAGCTAGTCAATAACAGCAGAAAAATTCTTTTTTGTTTTTTCAAGACAGGGTTTCTCTGTTGTCCTAGAACTTGCTCTGTAGACCAGGCTGGCCTCGAACTCACAGAGCTCCGCCTGCCTCTGCCTTCCGAGGGCTACACCACCACACATAGACTGAGATGTTCATGAGAGCTCCAGAGAACAGCTTTGAGCAGTTTGTTCTTTCCTTCCCCTTGTGTCCTTGCATAGGAAGCACCTTTGCCCACTGAGCTACTGGCTCCTTGCCTTACTGCTTTAATCTCTGTTCCTTGTAACTTGCTCTGCCAAGGTTCCTAAGGCGGGCTTGGGCAAGGCTGCCAACAGACTTGGTAGCTGAGTTGAGACCAAATCGCCTAGGCTGCTTGTTTCTGCTGAGCCTCCCTTTCATGGGTGTGCTGCCAGCAACCTCAGGGGCACTGGGCACATTGACTTAGCCTTGGCTCACATTGTGGTACATCCTGAGGTCATGCCAATTGCCACCCAAACTGGCTAGCTCGGTTTATTTTTTCATAATTCTCCAGATAGCTTAGAGCTGCCTCTGGGAAATACGTGTGTGATGCGGCTTCGCTGGGCTGGGTAAATTATCTGGAGAACAATCGAGAGGGAGCTGTCCAGATGGGGTCAGTTACCCTCTACTTCAGCCCTTGCAGCAGCCACTGCAGTGATTCTAATGACTTTCATCTGCTGCTCTTGTCGGGCACTACTTGGTGCCATTAGCGTTAGACTCGGTGTTTTTACTCACATGCAGCTGCTGAGCAGGGTAGCTGAGGTGGCTGACACTTCTCTGTGTGCCCCTGGTGCACAGGGTTCTGGAGAAATGATAGAGCACAAGTCTGGCATGCAGGCCCTGGCTTCTATCCTCAGTTCTGTTGCAAAAGGAAGAAAGGTGCTGTCGAGAGGGCTCAGCAGGAAAAGTGTGTCGTCAAGTCTGATGACCTGAGTTTGATCCCTGGGACTCACATGGTGGAGGAGAGCCCTGATTCCCATGAGTCCTCTGCTCTCTGTATGCATGTTGTAGGGTGTGGCTGTATATGAGATATACATCTTTAATCCCAGCACTCGGGAGGCAGAGGCAGGCGGAGCTCTGTGAGTTCAAGGCCAGCCTGGTCTATAGAGGGAGTTCCAGGACAGGCTCCAAAGCAATACAGAGAAACCCTGTCTTGAAAAACAAACAATAGAAATTTCCAGATGGATCTAGCCATCCTGGGCCCAAATTCTGGGGTGAGGCTTCTGGTGCACAGTTGAGAGCCTAGCAGCCCTGGCTAACACACTGATATTCTTCACAGGCTCTTAATGATCTGCAGGAGTCCCTGACTGGGTCTCGGCCCCAGGAGGTGTCGGTCCACCTTGCCCGCTTCTGTGACCAGTGCAGGCAGCAGAAGGCCAGCCGGTACCTGGCAGCCCAGAAGGGGGCCTACCCCATCCTCCTGGCTGCCTGGCAACTCGCTGCCACAAGCGACCAGGGCCTTTTGCTCCAGGCTCTCAATGCCTTGGCTGTGCTGACAGACGGCCAGCCTGACCTCCTGGATGCCCAGGGCCTGCAGCTGCTCGTGGCCACACTGGCACAGAATGCTGCCAACACTGACCTCACCTGCTGTGGGATCCGCTGTGTGCGCCATGCCTGCCTGAAGCATGAAGAGAACCGGCAGGGCCTGGTGAAAGCCGGGGTGCTGCCCCTGCTAACTGCTGCTATCACACAGCATGGCCAGCACGCCGATGTGGTTAGGGAGGCCTGCTGGGCCTTGCGTGTCATGACCTTTGATGATGACATCCGAGTGCCCTTTGGCCATGCCCATGAGCATGCCAAGATGATTGTTCAGGAGAACAGAGGTCTGAAGGTGCTCATTGAGGCCGCCAGAGGTAGGAGCAGCATTGGTAAGAGTGTGGTGGGTGGGCTGGCAGGGTGACCCAACAATACAGCCCCTGCCTAGAACTCCCCCAAGAGGGACTTGGGCGTGGCCCAGAGCACCTGCCTAGAATCTCCCAGTAAGGGACCGGGGTATGGCTCAGAGACCTGCCTGGATACAGGATGTCCTGGGTTCATTCTAGAACTAAATCTAACAAAGCAGCCAGCCCTACACTTTTGTCATGTAAAAGTACTTTGGCACCTGCGTGTGTCTAGCTTCAGGTGGCTGCTGTGAGTCAGCTGTGGGCAGTCATTCATACTTAAATCTTCTATCTTCCAACCTGTTCCTTTCATCCATTTGAAATGTCTGAAAGAGCTGCCTGGAGTGGCATCGTGGTGACGCACACCTTTAGTCCCAGCACTCGAGAGGCAGAGGCAAGTGGATTTCTGTGTTGAGGCCAGCCTGGTCTACAGAGTGAGTGTCATTCCTAGCTAGGAACCTCAAGGTCACGTTGGAAAACTTGTTCTAGTGGTTTGATTTCCTTCCTTCCTTCCTTCAAGACCATTTCACTATGAAGCCCTGGTACTTGCCATGTAGACCAGGCTATCCTGGAACTCACAGAGATCCCTCTGCTTCTGCCTCAAGTGCTGGGGTTCTTGTGTGTGCCAAGCCCAGCCTAGACTTCTTTGCTTAGGGGATGCCGGCAGCAGCTGTGCAGTTACTTGCCTCACTGTGATGGAGCAGTTTCTGTAGCTGTCACCAGGGGGCATGGCCGTCCCAGCCATGGGCTAACTCTCCCTTGGGCCTGTTGGATGGCCTCAGCCAGCTTGTGAATTGGGGAGTTTGCCCAAGATTAACATTCATTTGTCCCTGGGCCCTCCAGACTCCAACTCTCGTTTCTGCCTCTGCACAGCGTTCCCTGACAACCCGGGAGTCCTGAGTGAACTCTGCAGCACCCTGTCCCGCCTGACTGTGCGAAATGAGTTCTGCCAGGAGGTCATTGATCTTGGAGGCCTTGGCATCCTTGTGACCCTGCTGGCTGACTGCAGTGACCACCAGGTGGAGCCCAAAGTCTTCCTCCTGCCCCTAAGGCCACAGCTGGCCAGACCCCACTGAGGAGAAAGCAAGGGTGACATTTTGGGTTCGGAAGGCCCACTCATACTCTCAGGTTCTGGTTCCACTCTGCCTTTTTTTTTTTTTTTTTTCCTGTTTCTCTAAACTGGTGACAACTTAGTCCCCTGCACGCTAGCCCTCTGCCACCAAGTCACACTGCAGTCCTTTTTTACTGTCTTTTGAGACTGGTCTTGGTCTGCAAAGCCCAGGATGGTTTGATATTGTAATCCTCCTACTTCCAAGAACTGGGATGACACGCAGTGTGTGCGCGCGCATGAGCACGTTTGCATGTGAGAGACTGAGGCAGAGTCACAAGGTCTCCTGTACTCCCAGCTGGCCTTGAAGTGGTCTGTGTGTGCTGCCTTGCCCAGGCTCAATGTGGTTGGTGTGGGTGCTAGAACCCAGCCGTGGGAGGGGCAACCACACAGGCAGCTGAGCCACTTGCCCATTCTCGTCAGTGAGCAGGAATGAGGAAATGGAGGCACCGTCCTCAGCTCAGGCGCTCCCTCTCACTGGGCCGCATCCCATGCCCTCCCCATGTCAGGTGCATTAGGCAGATCACCCACAGGACCCAGCCTGTTGTCCTCCAGTCTGCCCTTTCTCCGTATGGTGGATAACGATCCTGTTGTCACAGCCTGTGACCCTGGTCACATGTGTTCAAACACAAACAGCCAAAGAGATCTTTTCAAAACCTCCTCCCACTGTGTAGCAAGCAGGAGGCTTGCAGCTGGCGCCCAAGCCAGGGTGCTCTCGCCTTACCCTCCACACAGGACCTCGTGAAACAAGTGCTCAGCGCCCTGAGAGCCATTGCAGGCAACGACGACGTGAAGGACGCCATTGTCCGGGCAGGCGGTACGGAATCCATTGTGGCTGCCATGACCCGACACTTGGCCAGCCCCCAGGTACCTACCTCAGACACAAGGGCAGGACCGTGGCAGGGTCTACAGGGATTGCCACCTCACTGTCAGCAAGACTAGGTGAAGGCCTGCGGTGCTCCTGGTCGGCTGCACCCCATCGGGTCCTCGAGGGACCAGTGCCTTCACCACCCTCACACACCCAGCCACCACTGCTGTGACACACCAGCCAGCAGAGGCCCACGGAGGGGAGTTGCAGGATGTCCTGGGTGGGGTGGGCAGTCATGCTGGCACACAGGGAGGTGGGAGTCTGTCCGTCAGTCTCAGGTGTCTATCCATACAGGTTTGTGAGCAGAGCTGCGCGGCACTCTGTGTTCTCGCCTTACGCAAGCCTGAGAACAGCCGGGTCATCGTGGAGGCCGGTGGCGCGCTGGCCGCACTGCAGGCCATGAAAGCCCACCCGCAGGAGGCCGGTGTCCAGGTGAGTGAGGGGTCCTGCTCGCCACAGCCTGACCTTCTCATCGTCTAAGTGTTGAGCCAAGTCCTCAAGAGGCGGGGTTGCCACAATTCCAGACCTGCCTGCCTTCCAGCGTGAGTTCCAGGACAGCCCGGGCACGTTGGCACACACCACCTCTGCCTGAAGTTTATATTTGTTTTGTTTTGTTTTGTTTTGTTTTGTTTTTGAGACAAGGTCTAATGTAGCCCAGGCTGGCCTCCAACTTTTTTGGCTGCAAGAACGACCTTCAACTCCTGATCTTCCTGCTTTCCCCTGCTGAGTGCTGTAGTGACGGGCCTCTGCCACCACACTCATGATGGGGACAGACCCCAGGGCCTATTCTATGCTAGGCAAGCACTCTACCAACTGACCACACCCTGCTTTTCCTTTGAAATAGGCTCTGTAGCTACTTTGGGCCTGGCTGTCAGGATTCTATGTCCTCAGCCTCCCAGGCACTGGATCAGTCTGTGCCATCATGTCTGGCTGTCACTCCTAAACTGTCACCATGCACGTGGCATCCCCCCAGATGGTACCTGTACATCAGGGATTTTAAGATCCATGAAGGTGTCTGAAACCAACCCTGATGTGACTCATTGAGAAATGAACTTTGACACTCAGTGGCCTCACTGTAGAGTATCCAGGGCCTGCCTCGGAGGACTATGGGTAGCTTTCTGGCCTGAAGTCATAGACTCCGTCCAGACACTTTCCTGAGTGCTCACCTAGATGTGGTAGATGGGCCTGAGAAGGTCAGGTGAGAACGTGGGGCTGGCCTGGACCAGCATAGCTATGTACTGAGTGTCTGTCTCATGTTGTAAGGAGGACCTGAGGCAAGCCCGGCACCCTGCATTCACTCCCGTCTCTTCCAGAAACAGGCTTGCATGCTGATCCGGAACTTGGTGTCCCGCAGCCAGGCCTTCTCCAAGCCCATCCTAGACCTGGGGGCAGAGGAGCTCATTTCACAAGCCCGAGCTGCCCACCCGGACTGCGAGGATGTGGCCAAGGCCGCACTGCGAGACCTGGGCTGCCGCGTGGAGCTTCGAGAACTGTGGACGGGAAAGCGGGGTGACCTGGCACCGTGACCCTAGCTCAGCGAGCCCTGACTCCAGAGCATGGGAGCTCTGTGCCCTGCACTCTGTCCCCACCCATGCGACCCAGAGCAGAAGTGTTGAGCAGGTCAGTGGTGGGAAGGGCAGGCGCAGCCCTTGGGGCCTGAGTCCCACAGGCAGCAGTGGTGACCCAGTGGCCCACCCCTTCCAATGCCCTTTCCCGCCCACTTTTTCTTGGCAGTTCTAGGGCAAAGGGCGTGTGGAGCTGCAGCACTATGTTGGAGTTTGGGGCTCCTGTAAGCCAATGTCCCGACAGGGCCGGCCACTGGGCTGCAGTCCAGGCACCACTAAGCTGTCGGTAACCCTGCTCCTTAGGCAGGCACCATGGGAGAGATTCTTCCACCAAAGTTGGTTCCCCAAGATCCACATGAATCCATATGGGGGCAGGGGAGAGACTCCTGCAAATTGTCTTCTGAACTCCATGCGTACACACACAAGTATAATAAATAAATGTAATTTTAAAAACCTGCTCCTCATTTTTCTTACCTGTAAAATGGGCCCAGAACTCTTGGCACAGTGAGGGATTTCAGACTCGCCCATCGGAGTCTGCCCAGGTTCCTGATACTGCAGAAGCAGGCTTGGAGGGGCTCCATAACTCTGGGACAGTGACTACGACTTAAGAGAACGGCACTGGGCCCCTCAGGTTGCTGCAGGCACTAGAGCTGTTTGGGGCATAGCCTGGACTACATAGGCTATTGAGGCTGGGATCAGGGTAACTCTGTCTGTGCTGGGGGAGCAGAGACAGCACAGCCCCCGCTGAGCTCTGTGGCTGTGAGCAGATAGTCTGGCTTGTGAGAGTTACTGTGTTTCTACACTTTGGGGAGTGAGGAGGGGGACAGGTATCATTGGCTCCAGTACCTGTCACCCCAAGAAGGGTGACACACCAGCCTCACCCTGTCATCCCTCACTGAGTGTCTTAGGCAGCCCACTTCTCTCTGAGCCTCAGTTTCCCCATAATGAAGTGCACAGTTATCACCATCTCAAATGTCCACACCACCTCCCCAACATCCTGCAGGTCATAGGCTTCCCCTTCCCCCCTCATAGCTCTGGACCTAGTGTGCTTTTCCCAGAAGGTTCTTGGTTTCCATGGGAACCAGTCATTGCTCCTGGCTGTTTTGACGTGTTGGGGAGGGGGTTGTTCTAACTCAGCCACTCAGATGCCCAAGCCTACCCCACTGGACAGGGAGAGGCCCTGCCAGCATAGACATGAACCTTGGACCAGGTCACCCCGCCCCCCACACTCGGGACCTGCCAGGATGTAGGTGAAGGGCCTTCTTAGTCCCATGCTGCCTAGATTGGATGACTTCTGTCTGGGTCAGTGATGTGTGTGACCATGGGCAGCCTTCAAACCCAGGGACACTTAAGGGCTGGCCCTGTGATTCTCACCCCATCACACTCCCAGTCTCCCTTCGCTGTCCATTCACAGACCACGCCCCAACCTCCTACCATTTCCCTACAGCTTTTTGCTTATTTTCCAGTCGCCACAACCTCCTTTTGTTGTATGTGTTTGTTTTAATATCTATGTCTATGTGTGTCAGGAGGCATGGAGGCCAGAAAAAGACATGGAATCCCTGGAGCTGGAGTTAGCAGATCAGCTACACGGTGCAGAGGTCGCCTTGCCTGTGGCCTCACATCTGTCTCTGCCACCATTTGTGCACGCCTTGTGGGTGGCTCCTATCCCCAAGAGCCCCAGCCTCACACATTCAGCACACTGGAAGTCAGGAATCCACCCTCAGCTGTCCCACCCCTGGGCCGCCAGCTGCGTGGAACACTTACCCTGGAGTGGAGCTGGGAACTGTAACTCTAGGCCTAGTGGGGCCCCATAAGGGCTGAAGACACCCCCTCCCCATCTCAGGGGGCCACCTCAGGACTGTCACCTCCCCTAAGAGGATGCCCCCTCCTTTGAGGAGGGTCCCCTCTGCTCCTTAGCTCTTGATGTCCTTTGTAATAGCATTGGAGAAGTGTGCTGAGGGAGAATCTGCTGCAGGAGCCTGTGTGTGTGTGTCTGGCCCATCTGCTGCTGTGTGTTCCTGGGTTAGTGGACTGACTTCTCTGGGACTCATAGAATGAGTGAAATCACCTCTGGATCAGACAGTGTTCAGGATGCCTGCAACCAGGGATCCACCTAGGGTCCAGGGAATAGAATAGCATTGCCAAATTTGTATGGTTTTATTTTATTTCTTTGTTTGTATATTGAGACAGTCACACCATGTAGCCCTGAGATTGCTATGTTGTCCAGGATAACCCAAAATCACAGTGTCCACCTGCCACTGCCCCCCTAGCGCTGGATTAAATGTGTGTGCCATCATGCCCAGTTATTTTTGTTTTGATTTTAAAGCATTTATTATTTTTAATAATGTCATTTGTGTAGGTATGTACTTGTGTGTGCAGATGCCTGTGGAGGTCAAGGCATCAGAGCCTCTGTAGCTGGAGATAGTTGGGTGTGAGTCACCTGATTGGGTCCTTTGGAAGAATTGAATGTGCCTTTGTTTTTGTTTTTTAATTATTTGTATTTTATTTACATTGATGTTTCGCCTACATGCATGTCTGGGTGAGGGTGTCAGGTTCCCTAGAATAGGAGTTGTAGCTGCCATGTGGGTGCTGGAGTTGAACCAGGGACCTCTCGAGAAGCCAGTGCTCTTAACCACTGAGCCATCTCTCCAGAACCCCTGCTTTTGTTTTTTAAGACAAAGTTTCCCACATAGCAGAGAATGGCCATGAACTACTGATCCTTCTGCCTCTGCCTCCCCAGTGCTGGAATCCCAGGCCTTCCCCTCTATGTTCTGCCATTAATGCCTTCTCATTGTTTACAAATCTCTGAGATGCCAAAACACTGAACCCCATCGATACATAGACTTGCACCCATTCCAGAAGGCACATTGCATTAAGGCCCTGGGTCCCCCTCCTGCCCTACTCCTCTCCTTTTATTAATTTCTTTTCGAGACAGGGTTTTTCTGTATTGTTTTGGAGCCTGTCTTGGAACTCGGCTCTTGTAAGCCAGGCTGGCCGTGAACTCACAGCCTCCTGAGTGCTGGGACTAAAGGCGTGTGCCACCAATGTCCAGCTTCTTTTATTAATTTTAAATTCCACCACAGTTTCCCCTTCCTCCTCTCCTCCTCTTCCCTCCCCCACCTCCTTTCTACCCCATCCACTCCTCAGGAAGGGTAAGGGCTCCCATAGGGAGTCAACAAAGCCTGGAATATCAAGTTGAGGCAGGACCAAGCTGTCAGTCTGGAGTTCCTCCAGGAGCTCCCACCAGCTCGGGTCAACTGACTCCTCTTCTTTAGCAACCTTGCCTTCCCTAATCTTGGGCAGGTGACTTTTTGGTGTTAGTTGACCCTGGACCCTGGCCAATAGTGAACTGAAGACATGTCCCTGGGATTCCCAGAGGGAGAGGAAACAGGGAGAAGTAGAGACAGTGTCTTGCCTGAGGACAAGCATTCAGAGAGGCTGCAGTCCCTGCCAAGTGCTCTCCACTGTGGGGCTACAATGGAGTGTCAGCTGCTGCCGCTGCCAAACCCGGCCCAGCCAGTATCTCTGGCACCATTGGCAGAGGCAGCTCAGTGCTGGACCACTGCCTGACCCTTGCCTCAGTTGGCATTGCCGGTAGGGAGCCATGAGGCCTTCCAGGAGCCTGCCTGCCTGCCTGCGTCCCTCCCTCCGTCTCTCCCTCCTCCCTCCCTCCCTCCATCCCTCTTAAAGCCCTGGTAGGACCACAGGGAGGCTCTCTATTGTCTGGATGGGGACACCATTCTTTTGCTTGGCCATCTATTGTTGCTGAAGCTGTTAAGGTTGAAGCCTGGGCTCTGGTGGACCTACCAATTCAAGCTGAGTCATTCATCCTCAAAGGTCCAATTAAATACCTAAGTAGGTCTTAGGCCAGGGCTCTGTTGGACAGTGCTCAGCTAGTAAGCCTGAGGTCCTGGGTTCCATCCCCAGCACCACATAAACTAGGCATGGTGACACACACTTGTCATTCCAGCACTCAGGATGTTGAGGTAGAAGAATCAGAAGTTCAAGGTCATCCTTGGCTACAGAACAAGTCTGAGTACAGTGTATGCTACAGAAGACCCTGTGTCAAACAAACACTCGAGGCATGGCATTGTGGTGCAGCCTTTACATCTGAGCACTCGGGAGGCAGAGGCAGGTGGGTCTCTGAATTTCTGACAACCTGATTTACATGGTGAGCTCTCGGCCAGCCAGGGCTACATAGTGACACACTGTTACATCAAAGGGTATGGCACTGAGACAGATGGTTTGGTGGCTAAGAGACAGCTTGCTCTGCTATGCAAACACAAGGTTTGCATTAAAAAAATTGGGCATGGCCACACGCTTGTCAGCCCAAGGCAGAGCTAAGTGGGCAGAAGCAGGAGGATGTACAGGGCTGGCTATCGGCCCAGTCTGGAGAGCCAGGTTAAGAGAGAGTGGAGAGCGAGCGTCCAGCCAGGGTACAAGACGCTGGCTTCCTGCACAGGGCTGCACACACTCACAAACAGGCAGCAGTGCACGACCACACTGCAGAGGGGCACGCCAAGACCCCAAGTCCAGTTTTAGCTTCAGGGTTAATTTTCATTACATTGACTTAGTTGATGTCTTGTGAGTGCTGCTATCTCACATGACCCCTCGCGTGTGGAGGTCAGAGAACAGCTTTCAGGGGTCACTTCTCTCCCTCCACTGAGTGAGGGAACTGAACTCACGTGAGCCGTCAGTCCTTGAGGAAAGGGTTGTGTTTAGGTAGAAGGCAAGAGGTCTGCATAGCTAAATGGTCCTGTTCAGGCAACAGTCCTTTGCCTGTGATTGACCCATGGTTGTCTCAGCTCCAGTGGTCCCCGCAAGGTGGTCTGACAGGAAGTTGGAACTGTGGGATCTTTGCCAGAGGTAAAGTGAAGTTCCAGTTTGGCTGCTCCAGGGATTCAGCCTTCTCCTTGCAGCATGAGAACCCGGGGAAGTTCTGATGTGTTGGGGTCCCTTGATTAAATATTCTGATAGACAAGGGAGAGGGACAAGTGCCTCCCTCGTGTGTGTGTGTGTGTGTGTGTGTGTGTGTGTGAGTGTGTGAGTGAGTGTGTGTGTGTGTGTGTGCCCACATGAATTTGTGTGCTTTGTGTGTGCACACATCTTGGAGTCCAGAAGAGGGCATCAGGTCCCCTGGAACTGGAGATACAGACAGTTGTGCAGTGCCATATGGGGGCGGGAACTGAACCAGGGTCCTCTGCAGGAGCAGATAGTGCTCTTGACCTCTGAGCCATCTCGCGGGCACCACAAGTGTCTCTTTAGAATGTCTTCATTCCTAACAGGAAGGATGCAGTGAATGAATCTGTGGGGCCTCCCACGGTGGCAGGCAGACAGTTACTTCCACAAATGTGAGTCTGCCTATTTGAACTTTGGGGATGAAGATTTGGGGGATTTACATAGTTCTGAAACCTGAGCCCTTAGTGTTAAACTTAGCCCTGCCTTCTCCCAAGATCCTCTGGTGCTGAGCTTGATCCCCACTGGCCCTGCCCAAATCTATGAGAAATAAGAGTTCATTTCTGGAGCTGGGCAGTGGTGGCACACACCTTTAATCCCAGCACTTGGGGGGGGGCAGAGACAGACAGATCTCTATGAGTTCAAAACCAGGCTGGTCTATAGAGTGAATTCCAGGGCAGCCAGGGCCACACAGAGAAACCCTGTCTCGAGGAGAAAAAGGAAGGAAAAGAAATGCTCCCAGGAAGTCAGAGAACAGAGTGGGTTTGCAGACGGTCCTGGCCACAAGGAGCATAGCTTAGTGCACGTCCCTCAGTCGTGAGCACCACCAAAGCCTGCCTATGACCCTCCGCTTCACAGGGAGGCAGGCAGGGTCTTGCGCATGTTACATGCCATGGCACAGGTGTGTGGAGTTCAAAAATCAACTTTTGAGGGTCTGTTCTCTACACCATGCCGGTCAGCATGTTAAATTCAGGTCATTAGGCCTGGTGGCCAGGCCAGTGCCTTTATTAGGAACCAGTCTGCCTCCATCTTAGGCTTAAAAGTCATCTGACAGTAAAGACAAACTAGGCTCATTCTTGTTTATGAATAAATTGTTCTCAAGGATTGCCCTATGCCCCACCTGTAACCTTAACTACAAATGGTTCTTCACTGCCTGCTCCAGGAAATGGCAATCACGTCTTCGTTTCAAAAGTTGTTATGTCCACCTTGGTATGACCACCTCAGAACCACGTCTTTGTGGTTCTTATAACTAGCCTGTTATGCTTATATTCTGCTTCGGTAGCCCGCCTATTTGCCTGCCAAATCCCCTATTTGGAAACCCCCTACTGAGCTATAAAACCTTACCTTACCCATGCCCAATGTTGATCTCTTGAACCCCACCTTAAGGAGAGACTGTACACACACACACACACACACACACACACACACACACACACACACACACACTTCTCTAGTTAATTGTTTGCTTTAATTCGGCCATGATTTGGGTTGGTGTTCTTTCTCCTCAAATCTGTGGAATTGACATTTACCCACTGAGCCATCTTGATGGCTTCCTTATGCTGTTTTCATACCGGGAGGTCAGGAACAGGACTGAGCCTCAGGATTGCTCTGCCTAAAGCTTGAACAGAGTCGCTCAGATCACTCTGTTCCCTACTGCCTTACTCCCTTTCCAATAAGCTCGGTTTCAGTTATAAATTGAACAACTAAAGTGCTGTATAACCTCGGGCAAAGAGCTTGAGCTCTCTGTTTAGTTTCTGTGTTCCCTTTGACCTGTGATTTGTGTTTATTGTTCGGCTAATTCACTTAAGGCTTAGCAGGGATAGGTCCCACAGGGATGTCATAAGAGCTTGGACTCTGAGATGTCACTTTCAGAAAGTCAGGCAGATTGCGTCAGCAGGATTCCACTTTTGATTTTCACGTTTGCACACGAGCTCGAGTTCAGAGGGAGACTGAGTGATCTGGAGTTTCTGCCCTTTGTGTCATGCAGTGGAGCTGTAGGGGAAGGAGTGGCTGAGAATTAGCAAAACGTCCTTCAACTGTCAAATTCAGGGAGGAGTAAGGCTTCTGCGCTGTGCGGGAACCTGAGGAGTCTGCGCCCAACTCAGGCAGAGACAATCGCTACGGTCACGGTCTGCACCTGGCGCGCCCCGTCCCCCGGAGGATGCACCGCCCACGACGGCTGCGATTGGTCAAGGGACGTGTACGTCTTTGGAATAGCATCCAGTCATTGTCGCCCTCCGGGCTACACCCTTCATTCGTCGAGCCTCGCCCTCGCCCCGCGCCCCCGCTTACTCAAGTCCCGACCTTGCTCTTCAGCGACTGGCCGAAAGCGCTGCCCGTTTGATGCTAGGCTTCCATCCTCGCGCGCCTCTAGGCCCCGCCTCTTCCCTTCAGTTATTGGTCAAAAGCACAGTCCGTTTTCTGTAGGCTCCAATCCTTGCTTCTGTCGAACTCTCAGCGAACAAGGGCCGCCTCTCCACGTAGCCTCGCCCCTTCCGCCAGCGATTGGTTAAAAAGCTTGTCCATTCGCGTCATGCCTCCCGAGTCTCGCCGTCTGCGGAGCTGATTGGTCAGGGCCTGGCCAATGACGGCACGGCCTGGGCCCCTCCCGGGCCGCGAGCTTCGGGCAGCGCGAGGTGGGGCTGCGGCGACTGAGGCGGCGGTGGCGGTGGCGGCGACGCGTCCGGGCAGGTGAGCGCGACCCGAGGAGCGCAGGCGCCACGGGGCGACGCGGGGTGGCGGGGTCCGCGCTGCCCTGGCCGGGAGGAAGCGCGGCACGGGGCGTTTCGTTGTGACAGCCGCGTCGTGAGCGCGGAGGGTGACAGATCCCTTCACACACTCTGTGCCGCGCGTCCTCGGGGTCCCCACGGCCAGGCCGAACCGTGATCTCACACCGAGCTGCGCTGCGGGTGACAACCCCGCAGAGGCCGAGGTGGCAGCTCACGCACCCCACACCCGAGCCTCCGTGACCCACCCCCTCACCGATCTTCCCCAGCCCCGCTGTCCCTCTCCGGAACCCGGGTGCCACCGGGCTGCGGCTGCCCTCTGCTGCACACACACGTGCACCTGCGAGCCTTTCCCGGGCCCCGTTGCTCAACCATCGCTTCGCTTCCAAAGCAAAGCCCACCTAACCTTTCCCTTGCAATTAAAAAAAAAGATATTTCTTTCCTGTGCAGTTGTGTGTGGGGTGCTTTGTTTTTGGAGGCAGGATTGCACTGTGTACAGCCTGCTGGTCCCGAACTCAAAGCTCTTCCTGCCTCTGCCTCCCAAGTGCTAGGATTAAAGGTGTGCGCCACTACACCTGGCATGTTATTCACAGTGCTTTTTTATTTATTTCTACTTTTTCATTTTATTGTATTTATTGATTGATTACTTTGAGGGTCAAGGTCTTGCTCTGTAGGCCAGGAAGTCCTTGAACTCTTAGGAAGAGTGCTTGAGGGCATGTGAGATGGCTCAGCTATTCAACCGATGAAAAGGGAGAGCCAACTTCTTAAAGTTGTCCTCTGTTGTCTACATGGCACACACACACTCACACACTCACATACACTCTCACACACACTCACACACTCACACACACTCACACACCACTTAATGTATTTTTTAAAAGACAGCTTAACACAGCGTGATGGCACTTATCTGTCATCCCAGAACTAGACAGGTAGACATAGTGAATTTGAGCTAGCCTGGGACCTTTGAGACCTTGTCTCAAAAAAGAAAGGAGAGAGAGGGACAGAGACAGACAGACAGACAGACAGACAGACAGACAGAGACAGACAGACAGACAGAGATCTGGGCTGAGTCTGTAGAGTGCTAGCTCTATAAGCCAGCAATGGTGGTACATCTGTCATCTCAGCACTTGGCAGCGGAAGCAGAGGTTTTGAGAGTTCATGTGTAGCCTGTGCTCCATAGAGACCCTGTCTCAAAAACAGAAGACCCAGGGCTTGACAGCTTTCAAGTCACTTCTGGCCTTAGAGTAATGCCATTACCCAGAGTAGTCCCCATTTTATCAGGTTCTGACTGTCCCCCTTGAGCCCTGAACCTACTCTTCGAGCCCACTCCCTGGCAGTAGCTTGTTGCTTGTGTTTATCTCTCTGGAGCTGGTGGAGGGGAGGAACCCCTACCATACACTACTCCATTCCCAGGCATTTCCCCCAGGTTGTGACTGATTGGATCCAGAAATGCTTCGCTGGAAGGCATAGCCCCTAGGGGGCTGCCTGAGCTTGTGTTTCCAGGCCTTGGCGGGGGTGGGGGGGTTGAAATCTGGGGTGATGTTGGTTGTGGTCTGTAACTTACCCAAGCTTCTTGACTGTCCCACAGTGAGGAAACACTTCTCAGAGTTGAGAGGGTTGGGTTTCAAATACAACTTCTAGTGAAAAGGGTGGGGGCTTGAATCAGGGAAGAAAGGTTTTTCTGGAAGTTTTGTAGTTCTGCGTCCAATACATGTGTCCAGCATAGAAGGAGGATGGTGGAAAATCAGTAGAGGTCCCATTTCCTGTAAAGGCTTCCCGGTGCTGGTCACTCTCAGTGGCCTTTCCCTTCACTGAGGATAGTGCCAGCAGGCTCCTCCTGGTCATGTCACCTTCAGGTTCTCCTGTGGAAACTCTAGCCTTTGGGACTTCTATTCGATTTCAAGCAAGGTCATGAGGTGCAGCTCAGTAGTAGATACTGCCTCAGTATTTTCAGGGTCTTCAGGCTTCATCCGAAGCCTCACAGAAAGTTACAGTAAGAACATGTGTGTGGTGTGTGTACTTCTACATAAGGTTGCTTATATCGTTATGTCTGTATGTTTATGTGTGTATACAGATGTTCTTTTGAGTATGGCATTTGTGAGATGTGTGCAGGAGTGCTCAAACACACAGACACCAGGAGGGATATGTGGTCTTGCTTCAGCAGCCATGCCTGGCTCTTCACGTAGGTGCTGGGCATTTGGACTTGGGTCTTTATGTTTGCCTGTTACCGCAGCTCAGCCTCTGTGTGCATTCTCTTTGTTGTTGGTGGTGGTTTTGGTGTTTGTTTGAGACAGGGTTTCTCTGTGTACCCTTGGCTGTCCTGGAACTTGCTCTGTCAACCAGGCTGGCCCTCAAACTCACAGAGATCTGCCTGCCTCTGCCTCCCAAGTGCTGGGATCAAAGGTGTGCGCCACCAATGCTCGGCTCATTCTTTTATACATACACATGTAGAGTGTGTATATAAAATTAAATTTTGATGGTGTAAGTGATATATGTAGCTAAAAAATAAGTACATGCTATTAATGGTGTACTTAATCCTAGCCCTTGGAAGGCAGAGGCAGGTGGATCTTTGCGAGTTTGAGGCCAGCCTGGTCTACAGAGTTTCAGAGTGCCAGGACTACATAGTGAGACTCTGTTTCCAATAAATCAGCATCATCAGGTATACACAGCATGCTTGTGATCCTGGTTCCAGGGAGGTTGAAGCCAGAGGGTAGAGAGTTCAAGGTCAGCATGAGACAATATGGAGGCCAGCTTGGACTACATAGTAAGACTTTGTTTCAAAAGAACCAAACAACTAAAAACCGCAGAAGTGCCGTTTGGTGCCCATAACCGCCACTTAAGCATTTAGGAGGTGCAGACAGGAGTAGTAGGGGTTCAAGATCCCTTGGGATACTTGAGACACTGTGTCCAGTAAAGCAAAACCAAATGTCAAACAGCAAGATTATAGCTGGCTCCCCAGGGCCAGTGGGGAATGAGCATGCGTGGTCAGCAGCCCACTCCCCAGAGTACCCCTCAGAGTGCCCGACACTGTGTTTAGGTGCAGCTGTGGCTGCCAGCCCTTCCACCTTCTCCTGGTAAGAAGGGCTGAGTCCTCTGGAGCCAGCTCAGACAGAGTCGCTTTAAGGGCTCAGGCCTGCCCCTGTGGCAGGTTAGCAGCAGTGCAGGAGAGCTTTCTCCCTGTACGGTCCTGGCCCAGGAAGCAGGTCTCACACTGAACTTTGGATCATCCTCCATGGTGAGGTGAAAGGTCAGGTTACATCCCAGTCTCCTCTCTGCAGAGCAGAGGAGACAAGATGGGACCTGCCGTCCTGGGGTCGGTGTGGAGACTAACATGGAGGATGGAACCTCTGACCCTGAACAGCACCCCAACTTGGGTCTTGATAGTTTAGGATAAGGCACCCCAAGAAAAAGAGTTGTGAGGCAGGGGAGATGGCTGAGTGTTGCTTGTTGTGCATCCATGAGGACCTGAGTCCCAGAGCCTATCTGACAGAAGCATGGGTCACAGAGCAGGAAGATGGGGACCAGTGAAACCCTGGCGCCTGCAGGTGTAGCTTCACATGTCAAGCCCTCGGCCAACAATAGGGGCGAGGCTCCAGAAACAAGCCCAGAGCAGTGGTCCTCAACCTTCTGGGGCCTTTAATACAGAAACAAGCCTAGAGCAGTGGTCCTCAACCTTCCGGGGCCTTTAATACGGTTCTCATGTTGTGGGGACCCCAGCCATAAAGTCATTTCACTGCTATTCACGACTGTAATTTTGCTAATGTTATGAATCATTATGTAAATATCTGATATGGAACTCCCCGAGGTGTCAAGACCCCACAGGTTAAGAACCACTGGGCTTGACTGTTAAGAGGAACCTGATAGGGGCTGGAGAGATGGCTCAGAGGTTAAGAGCATAGACTGCTCTTCCAGAGGTCTTGAGTTCAATTCCCAGCAACCACATGGTGGCTGACAACCATCTACAATTCAATCTGGTGTATATGTAATAAATAAATAAATATTTAAAAAAGAAGAGGAACCTGATAAGGACATACATATCTAAGTGCATACATGTATACACACAGACACACACATACACACACACACACACACACACACACACACACACACACACACAGGAAGAACTAGTCACCTGTTGTTTTGGTATTGAAATGAAGGTCAAGGGTTCATGGCTGCTAGGCAAGTATTTTACCAGTGAGCTTTGCTAACAGGCCCATTTCTTCTCTGTCTCTCTGTCTCTCTGTCTCTGTCTCTGTCTCTCTCTGTCTCTGTCTCTCTCTGTCTCTGTCTCTCTCTCTGTCTCTCTGTCTCTGTCTCTCTCTGTCTCTCTCTGTCTCTCTCTGTCTCTCTCTGTCTCTCTCTCTCTCTCTTTCTCGTTTGTGAAACAGGGTTTCTCTGTGGGGCCCTGCCTGTCCTGGAACTCATTCTATAGAGACTTGACTGCCTCTGCCTCCTAAGTGCTGGATTAAGGGCCTGCACTACCGTACCCAGCTATAAAATATTTATTTCTTTGAAATCTGGTGAAGTGAATCAGCAAATGAAGGCGCCTGCAGAAAACCTGGAGACCTGGTGTCATCTCAGGACTCATGTGGTACCACAAGTTGTCCTCTGACTCCCTCCCTAAATAAATGCCTTTTGGTTTTGTTTTTTTAAGACAGTATTTGTTTGTGTAGCCCTAGTTGACCTGGAATTAGCTCTGTTGACCAGGCTGGCCTTGAACTCACAGAGATCTGCCTGACTCTTCCTCCCGAGTGCTGGGGTTAAAGTTATGTGCCACCACGCCT